AAAGAAAAGAAAAAGAAAAAGAAAAAGAAAAAAAGAAACAGAAAATCAGCCACACACACACACACACTGGGCTATGAATGAAATCTACCTATAAGGGATGATAGAACTCCTCACTAGCGTACGATGTGCTGTGTGATGGTCCCTGTGTTTCATCTTCATTCGTAGCTTTGGCCTTTTACTTTTTTGTTTCCCAACGTGAGAACCAGTCAGATTGCGGGGGCCTGCATCGAACAGGCCTGGACACGAGATTCCCTGTATTCCGTATTCTATAGTATTCTATAGGGAGAAGGGCACTACGATATTAGGGGGCCTTCTAAGATTATAACCTACATCATAGTAGGGAATAAATCATATATAACATATACAACTTTGGTAAAGACATCCCTTTATACATTTCAGACGTCATGAGAACCCTGGAAACCGTGGACCCCACGGTCCGTTCCGATTGTGTGGTGGAGACAGTAATAGCCGACTATAGATTGTACCTAAGATATATATATATAACTATACCTAGGTATAACTATACCGTAGAATATCTAGGTATCATGCCATATTAAAGAACACCGGTTCGTGAATTCCCCGTAATCAAAGAGTTGATCTATATCGTACGATCTATTTAACTTTCTTAACGGTATTTTAGGGCATGACGACATAGGATCGGCTAGCTTCAACGCACAGACTGAAAGACCGACAGAATGAAGGGGGTTCGATGATTTCACTCTTCTTCACTCCGATCCGATCGAACAAAAACACGATAGTTAGTTTCCACTAACCCATACCCATATCGACAATTGATCAACACTACATACTACGAGAAAACATCACTGGTCTAAGCGACCGAGAAATATGTCCAATAAAATCTATATATGACCACCCGTAGCCGAGAGACCGTATCCGGAGTTCATACCGAGATGATTACAATGTTCATGAACGTTACCCTGAATGGAAATCAAAACATATGTCCAATCTGGAAGTCTGGAAGACAGAAAAGAAAGAAAGAAGAACTGGCAGTCTACACCTGCGCATAGAGAGGCCGAGGAAGGTCCTCACCGAGCTTGATCAAGGTCTCTGAATGGCAAGCTGGGTGGGAAACAAGCCCCGCATGGCTTCCTGGGACCGGAGCTCGGAAGCCCACATAGGCTTCTCGTCGGTCTTCTACTGTGACAGACCAGGTGTACAATCCATAGTAGGATGCAATAGAGTGGACCAACCAGCGACTGAGAGGTGTCAGCAGACTGTGCAGTTTCATTATGGTGGAGAAAAAAAGGGTTAAAAACATACCCGAATCCAGCGGCACGATCATCAGCCAAAGTCTCAAGCACCATCTTCTCACCGTCCCGCTCGCTGTGAGAGCTGATCTCTTCTCGGAGCAGGCGGAGTCTCTCCTTTCGCTCGGGAGAGTCGTGCATCTGTCCATTACGACCGACAAAGACGATCTCATCTTCCGAGTCATCGCTAGCAGAGTGCTCGGGAGCATCCCGTAGTCCCTCTTTCTCAAGCAGAAGCTCCCTCTCGTTCCACTTCTGGATAAAGGTACGGACCTCTTCTTCCAGATCTCGGAGCATGCCATGGGCAGCGCGCGCATGCTTCAGCTTTGACCTCAGCTCTTTCGGAATATGATGCTTCTCATTAGCTCTCTCAGCAGCCTTCACGGCCGACTGGTGATCCGCCACATGGGAATAGTGAACATCCCACAGGGGCGCAAGATAATAAGGCATCGGGTCATGCCGAGTATAGGTAGGTTGGATATCCCAGTCCTTGGATGACGGCGGTTCCGCCCAGGGATTGTGCAACAGACGATCTTGGTGTCTGGTCAGCATTTGCCTACCACACCTGCGCCAAAGGCCAAAAAAAAGGTACAAGTCGGCATTTACCGCGACCTATCTAGTGCATATACGTACCATTCTCCCAGCGCTGTCTCCGACGGCTACCATCTTTACCCTTGAGCAGAGCCTCCCGGGTCTTGAGGCCATCCCGGCGTAGAGGCTCCCGACGTCGGAAGCTGACTGTCGGAGGGCGGGACTCGACCTTGACTCGTTGGGATGGGATCGTTTCGTCGTCGAGAGGGATCGACAGCGAAACGGTGGCTCCACGCAGACCCGAGCGCGTCGGGGTCGGTGTGGACGGTGTACTTGCTGCGGGGGCTGAGTCCGTCAGGGACATGTTCTGCAGGGAGGTTGCTGCATGTTGCTCTGTCCACGCGGAGATTGCTAGGGCCTGTTGTGGCGACAGGTGCCCTTGCGAACCCTCTGGGCGCAAGCGTGGATGAATAGCCATAATTTATGCAATGCGATCAAATGAAGGCAACAGTTCTAGGGAGAAAGAGGGATAAGGATAGGATAAGAATGGGCAAGATAAGAGGACCTGGGAGAGATGATACGCAAGGTTGTCTGCACGGGACAACTCACTGGACGTTGATTGGTGGGAGAGTGGGGTACCTGATAGCCCTAGCCCTGATTTCCTATTTTGGAAGGTGACTCGAAACTGCCCCCAGTGGAAGGGGTGGATCAAATATCGAGGCTGTATATACTAGCTCAAGGCTGTATACGAAGTAGTTAGGCAGCCTTGGAACAATTTTCACCTACAAGAAATTGTACTCCGTACTCCGTAGAGATATTTATGAATTCTTATCTCCACAGGGCTGTGAGTCATGGCGCAGTCATAGTGGATTCTCCATTCTCTCCACCCTTCAATCCCCAGACTCGTGTACCTACGCTACTCCTTTGGTTAGCCCAGGACCTTGGATTTTTTTTAAGTTAATTTGAACATCAATAGATGACTTTGTGAATATAAACTGGAGTCCGTATTCAGAGTTTTCATCGGATATACCGGAAGTCCGTTCTAAGAATATTATATGTGTAATATGTAAGATGTAAGATATGATACAGAGCCTCGGTGGTTTAGCGCGCGGGGTCCGAAAATGGCTTGGCACAGGGCGCGTGCCCAATACCTCTCTCTCTCTTCCTCAGCTTTTAAAAAGGTAACCCTTAGACCACCCTTCTGCTTATTCTGCTTATTCGACTTATTCTTATTCTTATTCTTATTTTTCATCATGAAGTTCCTTACTCTTGCGCCTCTTGCGCTGAGCGCTACGGCAACTGCCATGGTCCTAGTCAATCCAGAGCAACAACCTCTAGCTCCTTCAATTGTTCAAAACCCTCAGTCCAAATCTCTAATCGAATTGGCCCCATACCAGACCCGATGGGTAACCGAGGAAGAAAAATGGTCGCTCAAGCTGGTAAGCCAGGTTTTGATTCGAATTTACTTATGTCATAGTACTAACGCTCAATCAGGACGGCGTTAACTTCATCGATGTCACCGATGAATACCAATCAGGCTCCTACGGAACCCTCCACACCACACGGGTTGTCCACTACCCAGAGGTGATGGAGCACTCACACGAGATTCTGCCATTGTCCAAAACCCTCGACAAGAGTAACATGAGAAGCAACCTGGAACACTTCACATCCTTCCACACGCGCTACTACAAGTCGCAAACGGGAATCGAGTCAGCAACCTGGCTATTTGACCAAGTGACTGCCGCAGTGCAAGAGTCTGGTGCCAGCGACCACGGCGCAACCGTCAAGCGCTTCGACCACCCCTGGGGTCAATTCAGTATTATCGCCCGTATTCCCGGTCAGACGGATAACACCGTCGTCCTCGGTTCCCACCAGGATAGTATCAACCTGTTCCTGCCTTCAATTCTGGCTGCGCCCGGCGCGGATGATGATGGTAGTGGAACAGTTACTATTCTCGAAGCTCTTCGCGCCCTGCTGCGGTCGGAGACTATCGCCCACGGAAAGGCCCGCAACACCATCGAGTTCCACTGGTACTCTGCCGAGGAAGGTGGTTTGCTCGGATCGCAGGCTGTCTATGCGAATTATAAGAAGAACCAGCGGAACGTCAAGGCCATGCTCCAGCAGGACATGACCGGGTATGTTCAGGGTACTCTGGATGCTGGCCAGAAGGAGTCTGTGGGTGTTATCATCGACTACGTCGATCCGGGCCTTACTTCTTTCATCAAGGAGGTGATCACTACCTACTGCGATGTGCCTTATGTCGAGACCAAGTGTGGCTATGCATGCTCTGATCACGCTTCTGCTAGTCGGTACGGATACCCCTCGGCATTTGTCATCGAGTCTCAGTTTGAGAACTCTGATAAGAGGATTCACACTACCGAGGACAAGATCGAGTATTTGAGCTTCGATCACATGCTGCAACATGCGAAGATGAGCTTGGCTTTTGCTTATGAGCTGGCTTTTGCTCCCTTCTGATTTTGGCACACTGGTTTACATGATATGATGGTTCGGCGTTTTATGTGATATACCTCTGAGCTGGGTTCCCTCGTTAGGAGTACATTGAGGTTCAACCTGAAGCTGTTTTTATTTTTTCGGTCTTGGGGCTTATACCCTACATACCCTTAGTGGAATAATTACGATTTCTAAACTTTCTATCCAAGTAATTTAGAATCGCGATTTCCACCTCGTTAACAAGCACAACATGGTCATAACTGCCCATATTAGATACCAACCTGAGCACTCATCCTCTGTGATGAGGGGCATGCGGATCCACCAAATTTAGTACTCCTTTCTCCTTCTTCTTCTTCTTTCGTTGGCCTTACTTTCCTTATGGATCAGCAAATAGCACGCGATTCTTGATAAATTACAAGAATGTCCTAGTGACGGCTCTCCATCCGAAATTTCTCCACCGGGCGATGCACCCGATTGTTCCCCTCGTGCGGGCAGATACAGCAAAGGGACTTTTTCCCCTCATTGGGATAAAGCACGCAGGACCCTCACCATATTCCGGGAGTGTGTCCGAGTTGTAGGAACCTAGTACTATGAGAGTGTATATTAGTTAGTCGATATCTCCTTCCTAAATCTGTCCCAATTCAATATCTATCCATCAAGGAAATATAACTAGCAACAGTGAGTTACTCCTGGTAACCTCCACAGCAAACCATTCAGAGTGGCTAATACTGGACTTCATTATGGAAAGTGTCCAGCAACATCGTTCCCCTTACCGTCATTAAAGGCGCCGGCCACGAGTTCATCCCCCTCCCCAACGGCGAGAACGCAACCACTGCCGATTTCCACTCTATCCGCACCAAGACTGAATCCCCTGCGCACTTCACTTCGGGGTTTTATAAGATTGAGGCAGGACCTGAAAGGCCCGCGAGCTATAATTTTGAGGAGACGAAATATGTCCTCAATGGTCAAATCGATATTTTGGTATGTCCCCCGTTATATATATATCAAGAGCTACCTCTTCATTGTTTTGTCTATACTAACCATTACGGTCCTAAATAGGATGAGGCTACTGGAATCACCCACCACCTAGTTCCGGGAGACTTTGCTTTTTTTCATGTTGGAGCTAAGGTCAAGGTTTGTCGTGACCCTCCCATATACCCATGGATCGTAATCATGATCTGGCAGTTCTAATTTCTCCCCGATCTAGTTCTCAACTAAGTCACAAGGATTGGCCTTCTACGCCGTTACTCGACCCATTCGATCTCCCCACCCTAACCTTGTAGGTCGAGAGGAAGACAAGGCTAGGTTGTAAGGACCTTGGGAGTCGATCTGTGAAAGTATACTCACCTTATTATGGATTATCTCCCAAATACAACATAAAGCCCCATACATTAGATTTGAAACCGGCATATTGTGATGGGATTATAAGAAAAGTACCTACTACAACATACAATCTATATCATACGATGTTGTGCCTCGTAGATCCTCCAAGATCCACTTGGCCGAGTATAGGGCTAGATCCCGATATGACGTAGCGATACTCACCGGTGTTTCGCACGTGATACCCCTCTATTCTGTCCAAAAAAATCAATAAACTCACCGTTTCCATACTCGTTGCTTGCAATTGTCATTTCTACACCCCGTCAAGCAAGTATACCTCCTTGGGATCAATCATCCCAACACCCTCTACATAAACCACCTCCCAAACAGCCCACCATGACCGCCTCAGCCCCTTACGCCAAAGAGCTCCAGCTTGCCAGTCTAGCCGTACAACGAGCAGCCATCCTAACAAAGGAGCTACTCTCTGCCGTTGACAAAGGCGCCCTTGACAAGAGCGACTCCTCCCCCGTAACAATTGCCGACTTCGCCGCCCAAGCCTCAATAATTGCAGCCATCCACAACGTCTTCCCAGACGACGACATCGTCGGCGAAGAAGACGCCACAGCCCTCCGCTTAAACCCAGACCTCCTCGCAAGAACCTGGGACCTAGCAACCAGCATCCACCTCAATGACCCAGAAAGCGAAGCCCTTCTCCACACCCCAAGTACCACCTCCGAACTTCTCGACCTTATCGACCTCGGCGCAAAAGGCGCCTGCACCCCAACCAGCCGGACCTGGACTCTAGACCCCGTAGATGGAACAGCAACCTTCATCCGCGGCGAGCAGTACGCAGTCTGTCTCTCGCTAGTCGAAAACGGGGTCCAGAAAATCGGCGTCCTCGGCTGTCCCAACCTTCTACAGTCAGGACCCGTCGCTGAACAGCGCGTCGACCGCGACGGTCTCGGTCAGATGATCTCGGCCGTTGCCGGGCAGGGTGTTACCATCAGACCTATGGGTCTGGGAGCTTTGCTGCCGGCGCGCCCGCTTGAAATTGTCCCGCAGGTTGGGGCTTCCGATGTGCGGTTCATTGATACGCGGGCGGCGAAAACGCAGGATCTTGAGGCTCATGCCCGGGTGGCGGCAGATCTTGGCTGTCCGTGGCCGAATCCGGTGGATTTGTGGTCGGCGCAGATGCGTTATGTTGCTATTGCCGTGCAGGGAGGGTGTAATGCTTTCGTGAAGGTGCCGCTGAGTTCGGAGTATCGCTCGAAGATCTGGGATCATGCGGGTGGTATGCTTATTGTGCAGGAATTGGGTTGTCTTGTTACGGACCTTGAGGGAAAGCCGGTTGATTGTTCGCTGGGTCGTACTTTGGCTGGGTGTCATGGTATGGTTGTTGGGCCGGCTTCGGTTCATGGGAGGATTTTGGAGGCTGTGAAGGAGGCGCGGGGGTTGTGATATTTTTTTTTCTCTGTTTTTAGATCTTGTTCTTTTGCATATTGGTTTTGATACCCTAGATAATCATATCATTGGCATGGTTACTATTCATGTTAGTACTATATATAACTACAACATAGTATGTATAATTTAGACTCTTCTACCGACAAGAGACGTGAGCACTGGCCATGAGACACAGTGTGTCATACTACGTTTCATGAGAAACACCAGTGACAAGTATTTCTAGTAAAATTGAAAAGATCTAAGTACTAATTGACTAAAATTAATCATGATTTCTTCACATTTCGAGAGAACCAAGTCCATATGTAGTCCGAAGTAACCCTAAGTATACCAGATAAAGCGTTGATGTCATCACCCATAGCATCTCCCACTTCCCGGTTCTTCCTACGATGGTCTGACTTGATTGGATTTAATTAAATTCCATGGACTTTCACTGAATCTCATTGGATTGAAATTGAATAATGGTCTGATGACCCTATGCGGGGAATTCCTCATTTAATACTTTTGGTTATACCCTGGACTCCCCTCTTCTAGACTTTCGATTCCTTTTTTTTATTATACTTAGCTTCATCTTGGATAATCCATCATGGTATTCAATCCATTCGCTAGACGCGAAACTCACAGTGCCAACTCGCTGAATACCTACCGGGTCCTTGTACCCCTCACCTGGGCTCTGGTCGTGGTGATCGGCATCTACCACTCTGTTCACTCGCCCGACGACACTAAGAAGGGCAAAAAGATTTGGAAGCAGGCTGATAAGCATAATACTCCATTCAGCCAGAACACTACAGTGACTGGCGTTTTCTGGTTCGTTGGCCTAAGTGGCACACCCGTGTCTATATTGGAGATGATTATGCTTTTGAATATCCACAACCTAACCTCCATCCAGGATCGTCCTCCTCCTCTCTCAGCTCAGCTATGTCTGGCACCTCTTCTCCAAGAATGAGGTCCTTGTCACGGCAGCTGCCAATGTAGCCACCCACTTCATTCTGAACAACCTTTTCCTCGCCGCTTGGATCCTCCTCTGGACCCGCAACCACTTCTGGGGCGCAGAGATCATCCTCGTCGCCCACTTAATCAACCAGACAGTCACCTACTGGCGCCACCGCGGTCTGCCGGCATTCGTGCATCTACCTGCCGTTGCCGGTCCCTATGCCTGGACACTGACGGCACTGTTCTGGAACGGCGCGGTCGCTGTCCACAGCCACAACCTGCCTGGCCGTATTGTTGCTAATGTCTTTATTTGGGTTATCCTCGTCATCGGACTGTTTGATATCGTCCTCTGGGAGGATTATATCCTTGGCTATTGTTTGAGTTGGTTGACATTGTGTAAGTTTTACCTCTTTTAAATCACTGTTTTGGAGTGCTTCGCTGATATATATACTTCTAGCAATCGCCCTCAGACAAATCGCTATCAAGATCATTGCCCTGCAGTGGATCTTTGCCTTTACTGTCTTTGCCGTGTTCTTGGTCGTCTCTCTTTACATCTCCACGACCAAGTACACTGGCCGCGACAGCCTCTTCCGTCGCGTTGCCCACCCCGAGTCGGTGGACCGGGAGAGAGAGCCGCTGCTTAACGAGGGGGTGTGAGGGTGTCGTCATGCCAGCATTAAGGACCCACTGCCGTGATAAGCCTAACTAGTTCGCTGGGGCATACTTTTAGGATCGGACTGGGCGCTGGAGAACGAGACACGGTGAAAGTACAACATATGGAGGAGAGATCTGCAAGGTCAGTCTTATTTTGGCGGAATTATGCACTCTTTTGTGATACCACCTGGAATAACGCAGTTTTCTTGTTTAAGTGGTGCACTGATGTGAAAATGTATCGACCCACTTGGGACTGGTAAAGGACGTATGTGTTGAAGACAGGTTGAATACTTTGATAATTTGACGTTGGCAAAAGGAATGAAACGGAACATGAATTTATATATGTTGTATGGAGTATAGTATTCTATTTTAATAATTGTTTGATTATTGTTTCCATATCTTTTCCCCCCGTGCTGATGCGGGCTGAGATCCGAGTCCAGCGTTGCCCTGACAACCACCTGCACCTCCACCTTTGTTGATGCAAAGCGACGGATATGAACGGATAAGCGTGTTTGCCTAGTCGATCCTTTTTGCTCTTTTATTGTCTCTTTCTCTTCATCTTGCTTGTGTGTCGAGCTTTGATATTGATATTGTGCTCGCATTCCTCCGTTTCTCAAACCTCAACTATTCTTGAACCAGACAGATACTCTGACTTATCGAGAGACGGGGATTGATTCTGGTCGTTGTCTCATTGATACCCACCTCAGGTACCATACTATGAGGCAGTGAGTTCAAAATAAGACACCCACATTCCACGTTCTACCATGAATCGTCATCCGCCATCCAATTACGGCGACGCGCCGCCAGCATACCTCAACCACGACACGGGTTCCTATCTGTCTGATCCCGAGTCTCCAACTAATGCCTCACGACTTAATGGAGGAACGATGCGCTTGTTGCCAAGTGGCGACGGCGCTGATGACTTAGCTAGTAGCCATAGGGCTCCTTCACCTTCCCATTATGACCCTGATTATGATCACACTCCGTACGTATATCCCAACTACCCCCTGATACAACCTTGCCCGTTTTCACATTCCAATGGTTTCCCTCGCGACGGAATCATGTGCACCACCAAGTCCAACTCCTTCATTGATGTGATTCAAAGGCTAGGAGAAAGCTTGTGCCTTAGGCAATTGCCCGCCAATGGGTAATGCTAGTGGACTCGAGCCAACTCCTTCCTGTTGTTCCGTCGATCCTCTTCCCCTTGAATATTACACAATTGGCACTCTAGTACATTGTTTACCGTTTCATCCACCACTCCACCTCCACATTGGCCCTCTTCCTGCCAGCTTCGAGGCAAAATGGAACGTCTTCCAAGACCAAGGTCTAACATCAGGGGGCAAAATTTTAGGACTGGACACGACCACCGTTATGACAATTATTACGAGGTGCCCAGCATCTCTTCGCCTTCCCGTCCACCATCCAGCTTGGCCAGCGGACCCAGTATCCCGCCTCCGACAGCAAGCCTCGCTGACACTTCCGTCTACCCTTCTATTCCCCCACGCACAGGATCTCCAATTCGTCCATGGAGCCCTTCACACATCCGACCACCCTCCGTGTCAAGTGTTGGATATGAACGCCCCGATTTGAACGGTAGCCCGCGGCCCGGTACACCCAGCTCAAGATATGGGGGTAGCCCTCGTCGACCATTGCCTCCTGCGCCTTTGTTCTCTGGGCCAAAATCAACAGTAGATACAAGCATTGATATTGGTGATGCCCATAGCGACGATCCATTCGGCGGTGACGGCCGCACAATCCACCACACTTCGCGCGGCAGCGTCCGATCATTCATGAGCGAATCGACAATGTTGGGAGACGAGAAGGATAGCATGTCAAAAGTCGACCTCGATGATGAATATGAGGACGAATCCCACGTTCTGGATCCCAACCTTCACTATGGCCCAGCACCGGACAAGCAAGGGCGTCGCGGTGTCCGATCCAAGCAGGTCGCCAAAAAGGAAGTTCAGCTGGTCAACGGCGAGCTTATTTTGGAGTGCAAAATTCCCACCATTCTTCACAGTTTCCTACCTCGCCGTGACGAGCGCGAGTTCACGCACATGCGATATACCGCTGTCACATCCGATCCGGACGATTACGGCGAACGGGGATATAAACTTCGCCAGCAGATTGGTACCACCACTCGTGAGACTGAGCTGTTTATTTGTATCACCATGTACAACGAAGACGAGATCGGTTTCACTCGCACCATGCACGGTGTCATGCGGAACATCAGTCACTTCTGCTCGCGAACCAAGTCGCGTACTTGGGGCCGTGATGGATGGAAGAAGATTGTCGTTTGCATCGTCGCTGATGGACGTAAGAAGGTCCACCCGCGTACGCTCAATGCGTTGGCCGCCCTGGGTGTTTACCAGGAAGGTATTGCGAAGAACATTGTCAACCAGAAGGAAGTTCAGGCACACGTGTACGAGTACACTACGCAGGTCTCCCTCGATGATGATCTCAAGTTCAAGGGTGCCGAGAAGGGAATAGTCCCGTGTCAGGTTATCTTCTGTTTGAAGGAACATAACAAGAAGAAGCTGAACTCTCACCGATGGTTCTTCAATGCCTTCGGTCGTGCCCTTCAGCCCAACATTTGTATTTTGCTCGATGTTGGAACTCGACCAGAGCCGATGGCGCTCTACCACTTGTGGAAGGCATTCGATCAGGACTCCAATGTTGCCGGCGCTGCTGGTGAGATCAAGGCTGCTAAGGGTAAGAACATGCTCGGTCTGCTTAACCCTCTAGTGGCAAGTCAGAACTTCGAATACAAAATGTCCAACATTCTCGACAAGCCTCTGGAATCCGTCTTCGGTTACATTACTGTGTTGCCTGGTGCGCTTAGTGCTTATCGATTCTTTGCCCTGCAAAACGACGCAGATGGCCATGGGCCTCTCAACCAATACTTCAAGGGTGAAACACTCCACGGTCAAGATGCAGATGTCTTCACTGCCAACATGTACCTAGCCGAGGATCGTATTCTTTGCTGGGAGTTGGTTGCCAAGCGAGAAGAGAGATGGGTGTTGAAGTTTGTGAAGAACGCCGTGGGAGAAACTGACGTGCCGGACTCGGTTCCTGAGTTTATCTCCCAGCGTCGAAGATGGCTGAACGGTGCTTTCTTCGCGGCTGTGTACTCGATTTTCAATGCCAAGCAGATCTGGCAGACAGATCATACTCTTGCTCGGAAGATCTTGCTTCACATCGAGTTCTTTTATCAATTCCTTAATCTGCTCTTTACTTACTTTGGTCTTGTGAGTTTAGCTGTCTATTTTTTTCTTTTCGAATGCGTCCACTGACTTAATCCAGGCCAATTTCTACCTCGCTTTCTACTTCATTGCTGGCTCTTTGACTGATGAGAAGCTTGATCCGTTCGGTCACCACATGGGCAAATACATCTTCATTGTTTTACGCTATGCTTGTGTTCTGGTTATGTGTTTGCAGTTCATTATCTCTTTGGGTAATCGGCCGCAAGGGTGAGTCCACAGTTCTTCATCATACATTGGACTTGACTGACATTTCTTTTTAGTGCCAAAAATCTCTATCTATCTGGTATTATCATTTACGCCATTATCATGTTTTACACGGTCTTCTGCGCCCTTTACTTGGTGGTCAAGGAGTTACTCGCACGTGCTGGAATCGGAGGCGATGATATGGAGGTCGGGGACGGCCTAATGATGAACATCGTGATTTCCATGCTGTCAACCGTCGGTCTTTACTTCTACACCTCATTCCTCTACCTGGACCCATGGCACATGTTTACCTCTTCGATTCAATACTTCCTCCTCATGCCCAGCTACATCTGCATCCTCCAAGTCTACGCCTTCTGCAACACCCACGACGTAACCTGGGGAACGAAAGGTGACAACGTTGTCAACACCGATCTGGGTGCAGCAAAGACCATCAATGGCTCCACCGTCGTCATCGAAATGCCCTCCGAGCAACTCGACATTGACTCCGGCTACGACGCGGCCCTCCGCAATCTCCGCGATCGCCTTGAGGTCCCAGAGCCCCCGCCATCAGACTCCCAGTTGCAGGAGGACTACTACCGCGCCGTCCGTACTTACATGGTCTCCATCTGGATGGTCGCTAACGTAATCCTCGGCATGGCCGTGTCCGAAGTCTACGGTATTGACCAAGGTGGTACAAACATCTACCTCGCTATCATCTTGTGGTCTGTCGCCGTTCTGGCTGCTATTCGTGCTATTGGCTCCACTACCTATGCCATCTTGAACGTCGTTCAGATGATCGTTGAAGGAAAGACGAAGTTCGACGCCGGTAATATGTCAAACTTCGCCCCCAGCTCTTTCGGTGGTTCGAGTGCCGCTGCGACCTCTGAGTCTGGCGCCGCCTCCGCCCGTCCTGTGCGTTATGGCGGCGGTGCCTCCTTCAAAGATAAAATTGCTGAGGTTCGCTGGAGTGCTGGGAGAGCCGTTGGAAAAGCTATGTTCTGGCGCAAGTAGATGTCTGATATGTTCTTTTTTTTTTCCTTTTCGGGAAGCTTGGCTTTCCTGGGTCTCATGGAGTTCCTCTGATTTGGGTTTTCTTTTGAGATATCAGGCGTTGAATCTTTTTTCTCTTCTTTGATGGAAATATTGTCACGATAGTGCTCTTTTTTTTGCTTTTAATGCTCGTTGCTCTCACTTTCCAGACTCCTGGACATGTGTATTGATTGATGTACTTATGTGCTCTCTTTTGGGGGTTGGAATTAATGCACTGGATGATGATTCAAAATTACTGGAACCCATTTAATATCTATGATCTTTTCAATGTTTTTATCTTGACGTATTCGACATCGACTCGCCCGCAACTTTCAATTCCAACGCCAGCATTGAAGATTTATTCACAAAATTCGTATATCACGTCAATATTCCGATAAAAAAAATGCCACACAGATCCCGCCATGGAATCCCATCTCCTACTATACACAGTCTCATTTCTCATTAAGCCCAGTCCCATCAACCTCATGAATATGTGTATCCCGCGGTCCCAACTCCGCCGGATACATCATCTTCCCCCTCTCCGGATGAACAGGATAAACCAAATGCTGCGCCGAGCTCGCAGCAGCAATCTCATCAATCATCGCCTCCTTCCGTCGCAAGTTCTTCTTATATATCCGCCGCTGCACGAGCATAGTAACAACAGCGATTAGAAGACACCCGCCCAATCCAGCGCCGAGGCCCGCGCTAATCACTGTTGTTTTTGAGGCGGGGCATGTGGCGCTGGCACTTGAGCCAGACGTGCATGTTGTATTTTCAGTATTGGAGCTGGCGTCGGTCGACGAAGGCGATGGTGGCGATGATGGCGATGATGAGGCTTTTGACGACGGCGAAGAGGAGGATACCGAGGATGAGAGAGAGGACTCGGATGATCCCGATGAAGAAGAGACATCGGAGGTGAGTGATGTCACGGAGACGTTGATCATCTGGCCCATGTCTAGGCGCACGGCATCGTCGCAGCAGTTTGTGCCGTTTACGCTGCAGCACCAGAAGCCGCGGCCTTGTGCGGGGCACGGGATTACGTAGAGGGTTGCGTCCGAGGCTGTTTAGATGGTTTGTTAGAATTAGTCGGTCAGGAGGTGAGGATCAGTATGTAGAAGGGTTTGTATCTATCATTTGACGAAAAAGAAAGAGATAATAATCAATTTACCTGTATGACAGAGTCCCGGACACTGTCCGCTCTTCCAGGTCTTATCGGTGCAAGCTCCCTGTCGGAGGAGGCCTCGGAAATTTGGATCTTGGATATAACATACTCCGCCGGAAAGACAGATGTCGTTGGGGGTTGTGTTGCTTTTATCTAGGGAGCAGCAGGGGCTGTCCTCTTGGTCTGGGAAGCAGGGCTGGAAGCTTGAGTCTGCTGCTCCGCCGTCTGTGAGATAGCATTGTCGGGCTTGAATTATACTGGGGAACACTGCTTGGAAGATGAGTATGTGGAGGATTGATTTAAGGCGAATCATTTCTTCCTTGTTCTTAATCGAGGGAGTAAAAGAGTCGAGGGAGCTTGAGGGAGGGGGAAGGGGATTTTAATTTCATTGACAGGGTCTGTGAGTTTTAAAAGCAGTATTTTTTATTTATTTTACAACTGAGGCTCATGTACCTCATGGGATAAAAGTAATAATAGCTTTGAATGTTATTGGGCTCATAGATTTAAGGCGGTTACTTGATCCTTCGGATTGGTTGGGAGCTCGCAGATCACTATGCCCTAAGTCCGACCCGTTAAGCGCTGAGGTTTCATGGATTTATTTTTGGCGCCTCACAAATAAATTAAAGGGGTAAGAAAATGATCTAAAGTGCCTTAGCCAGGAGATTTAATTCAGGGCAATTTTTAGAACCCAGTTAGTTCCATTATAGGAAGTGGTTACATCCACAGGCCCTGTCCCCGGGTAGTGGTACCTGCGGTTCTAGAGAACACACAGAGATAAACAAAGCCTGCTAACTATCCAATAATCCACTTATGTTCAAAGTTGAGGAGATTCATACATGATTGAGAGTCCGGATTGAAACATAAACGTGCTTTGAACTCCTTGTCCACCGATAAATTCATTCATTGGCAGTTAGGTAGCACAAGCGCAAGCTTGATTGCCTATCCTATTTACAGGGAATATTGAGTGTACATGTTGCACAACGCCTGTTTGCCTGCGTTGGCTGTTTGTAGTATGCTTTGTTTCTTCCGACTATAGATAGCCAGCTTTTTCCATAGAAACCCCATTCCCTTTCCCCCCTTTGCATAGTACCTACGATCATTTTATAGTATGTTATATACTATCTACGTGTTGATTCTAATATATAATTCACTCATAGCAGCCAAACAGTTGGGTGTTCTCACCATTTATATCCCTCAAGCCTCCAGTATTTAAATGTGCTTACTACCCAGACTTATGCCAAAGAAAGGGTTCGGATTCCTTGGCTCCAGTTCCTACAGCAGAACCATCCAGGATATACTGGTATCAAAATCTCATCCGACCGGATTCAGAATCTACCAGATGATTGCTCGGTTGTCGATCACATATTGGCTCAGTCTACCGACCCTGACCCTAATTCTTCCACTGAGACCGACGATACTGAAGAAATTGACGCTCCGGTCTCAACAGCTGTTCCAAACTTCATTCCAGACCGTACTGAACTGGATGCGGCTACCGCCTCCTAATGCCCTGGCACTACCTCCGTTCAGATCAACACCGATCAACGACTTCAACCGGACCAAGCCCCTCCTCTCCCTCGCATTCCCCACCCTATTTCCTTACGAGGGAGCCGAGTTCACAATCCCACGTCAGAGGTCTGTCAGCTATAAGAACTATGTCCGACATTTGATAAAGCATGAGTCTGGCCGCTTCGCCCAGCATCCTCGCTTCCGGTTCGTAGTGTTTAACACAATCATGCGCCACCAGGCGGCGAAAAGTGCATGGTTTTATGTCCGACGCCAGGCTGGTAGACCGGATATCACAATCGAGGAGCTCCATGGTTGAAAACGTGGGACACGGCAGTGAAATTTACTATGGCACGCAATGCCTCCTTTAGTTTGAATGTTCTGAGAACTCAGACTCTCTTATTGGCAAATCTTCTCCACAACAAAGACATTGCCGGAAGGGACATTGTTTACAGTGATGTTGGGTTTCCGGCAGATGGCTAGTTACTGTACTGAATATGAAGTCTTCAAAGTCTACACCAATCAGAATGTTCTTCATGTATAAATCTAGCAAGCCCATTATATGATTTGACCATTGCTCATTATGTTACAAAATATCAGTTGATAGATTCTAGCCGAGGTAAACTATGGCACCTTTCCGCTATTATCTCGCCTAATTTCACTTCAATGGCGCAACTTAATCCGGTTAAACATAATATTTCCACGATGATAAACACTCATTAGTAACTTCCTAGCCTGAGAATTTCAAATGTGATCTAGGACCGGCTCCATAAATAGTGATACTTCAAAATGTGTGGTAGGTTGTTACGCCGAGGACCCTCACCCCGCATCACCGGTAAACACGGCAGTGTCGTATACATAACAGGGCGAATATCTTGACTGACTAATATCTTTGAGGGGTCCTAACATTTTATTGATTTCTTGGAATTCTGGTTACAGTCTTGACAATATCTTTGATTTTATTCGAGGCTATTAAACATGTTCTCAGAAGAGGGCAAGACAGCGCCCGTTGATTCCGAGACCACAGATTTAGCACATATCACAGAAGATGAAGAGCTATCCGAGACACCCTCTACATTTGCTGTAAAAGGTAAAGTACATGGATGTCTCCAAGTGCTTGGCGCTTTCTTTATATTCTTCAATGTCTGGTCTGTCAATATCCCTCCGAGTTACAATTGAATATCAAAACTAATATACTTCCAGGGGCCTAAATCTCTCATTTGGAACATTCCAAAGCTTCTATGCACTCACCTATATACCATCATCAACATCATCTGATATCGCCTGGATTGGAACAGTCCAATCCTGGCTCCTGATCGTTGGCGGCCTACTATCCGGCCCACTCTTCGACCTCGGCTACAACCAGACCATGATTATGATAGGAAGTATTCTAGGTGTAACCGGCATGATGATGCTCAGTCTTGCACACGAGTACTACGCCATATTCCTAAGTCAGGGAGTCTGCGTGGGCCTCGGATTCGGACTGCTCTATGTCCCCGCCATTGCATTGGTCAGCCGCTCTTTCACAACAAGAAGGGCTGTTGCGCTAGGTGTTTCGAGTAGCGGTGCACCTGTCGGAGGCATTATCTACACTACCATGTTCAACCAGATTTTACCAAAAGTGGGGTTCCCCTGGACCGTTCGCCTTGTGGCGTTCGTGATGCTGGCGCTGTTCATCGCGGCTGCTCTTATGCTTTTGTGGCCAGAGAGACATTCAGTGAGGGTTAAAGCCACCCAACGTAGGAGCTTGATTGATTTGCGTGCTTTCAAGGACCTGCCATTTTGGAGCTTTGCTATTGGGAACTTTTTCCTTTATCTTGGCTATATCACGCCTTTCTATTACATTCCCACTTACGCGCAGACGAAATTGGGCACGTCGAGCGCAATGGCATCGAATGTCTTGATGATTTCCCAGGCTTCTTCGGTCGTTGGCCGTGTTGTCTTGACTTTATTTGCTCATTACTACGGGTCGATGATTGCTTGGATCGTCTGTGGTGTGCTCTCGGGCGTTTTGTGTATTTGTTGGATCAGTGCAGATAGTCTGGTGCGGTTTATCCTTTTTGCAGCCTTCTATGGTAAGTGAAGTTCCTTTGCCTGGGTCATCGGTGCTCTGATTTTGACACAAATCACAGGTGGTATCTCCGGGGCCTTGATTCCTCTCCCGCCGAGCGTTTTCACTCACGTCTGTCCCGATCCCAAGAGTCTCGGGACTTGGCTTGGAATGGCGCAGAGCTTGAGTAGCTTTGCGACTCTTGTGGGGCCGCCAATAGCAGGTGCGCTCGCTTCAATTGGCGCTGATGGTAGTGCGGATTTGAACTACCTAGGCATTCAATTGTTTAGTGGAATAGTCATGTGTTTTGGTGCGTTCCAGCTGATCTTTCTGTGGTATTTGCTATACAAAAAGAGGGGCAAAACTGGTTTATTTTAAAAGGAAAAGGGGCTGTTTATACCTGCTATTGAGCTAATATGTGCTTCCTTTCGTTTACATTGTCAAATAATCCCTGCTATCTTTCTATCTTTTTAGTAGAATATCATACAAGATATATAGTTCGGAGAACCAACCTATCATATCCTCTGAATTCGTCGGGTCTCGGGATTTGCAACAAATCACATTGATGTGAGTCACACAGTCACTATCTGATGGCATCCAGATAATAAAATAAAAAAGAATACTATATACAATCTCATCTCCATCTCAATTCCCAACTAGCAGTACCTCGAACAAGAAACCTCAAAAATGGCATCACCACGCCCAAAAGGCCCACTAGTCTCCTTCACTCCCGCTCTACTACCAACAAGCCAAACAATCCCAGGGCGAACAATTCTCCTCGAGAAACTCTCCCCAAACCATGTCGACGACCTTTTCGCCCTAACCGGTGGGCTTGAATCACCCAGAGAAGCTTTATGGGACTACATGCCGGACGGGCCGTACTCAGACGCCGAAGCCTTCAAAACCAGCATTGCAACGAAATCCACTTCAACAGATCCATTTTTTTACGCAATCATCGACCAGCGCAACAATATCCCCACTTCCGGAAAAGCAATTGGTTATATCTCTCTGATGCGTATGACTCCCGACCACCTGGGCATCGAAATCGGGCATGTGATGTACTCGTCTGCGCTCCAGCGCACAACGGGCGCGACCGAGGCTATCTATCTCCTCGCTCAACATGCTTTCCACGATCTTGGGTATAGGAGATTGGAGTGGAAATGCAATTCGCTGAATGAACCTTCGCGGCGGGCGGCTCTGCGCTTGGGATTCTCGTTTGAGGGGATCTTTCGGCAGCACCTGATTATTAAGGGGAGGAATAGGGATACAGCTTGGTTTTCCATTTTAAGGGATGAGTGGGATGCTTCACTAAAGGCTTCCATGGATAAATGGCTGGATCCTGGGAACTTTGGGGAGGATGGTGGTCAGATTAGGTCACTGCAGGATTTGAGAGCTGAGTCTGGAAAGTGATTTATTTAGATGGTTGTACCTGGGCAGTCATCCATATAGAAAAATAAAACAGCTATCTTTATTTCGTTTTCATGTTCACCAAAACCCTTTATCCTTTGGAGATCATTAACGCGCTATTGGAGATCACCGACAGGAGTAGCTCCACCACTCCACCTGCCCCACCATTTAGCAGAAGCTCGAGGGAGTTGGAGTTAAGGAACTCGAGTATAGCTGCATTATATGTAATATAAGGGTAATATCCATACAGACTATGTCAAATAGCTATGTGATGGTCCGATAGTCCTTGATGTGACAAGACCTACAAAAAAAATGAAACCCGAGATCCGAGATCGACCTGGCCGATGTTCTCCGAGATCTCCAAGAGATCCTATCGAACCTCTCCATTAGAACCTCTATGATTGGAAGATATGCACATTGTCAAAGTTTAACGAATAGACGCAGTGCGGTTCATCAATCCCCAATCCTTTAGCGGGTCTGCTGTTTTGCTGAGAGACAACACACTCCCTCGTTCCCTCATTCCTATACTTGTGTACAGCCCTGCAATGACAAATAAAGGAATGGTAACATTGGCAATGTATAAATACCCCCCCAATTACCACCCAGTACATCATCTATTCGAGTTAAATCATTACCTCCTGATCATTCAACCCATTTCCCAAATGTCCACATCAACAATGTCACTCAACGAAACCACATCCACTAGAGAATATGGCTTCAACCCCAACCAAGGCGTAAACTGGGCCGACTACCTCACCTTCCGCCCAATCTACCCAGCCTCCTTTTTTGAAAAAGTCTTCGCCTACCACTCCCAAAAGCCCCACTCAACCTGGTCCCTCGCCCAAGACATCGGCGCCGGCTGCGGAATCGTCTCATCGAGTCTTGCGCCCCGTTTCCACAATGTGATTGTCTCAGACCCAAACGAGGGATACACCGCACTCGCTCGCAGAGTCCTCGTCGAGGAATCTCAACTACCCGAATCCAAGTTCCGGTTCCTGCGGGAAAGTGCCGAAAGGAGCTCTGTGGAATCCGGTTCAGTCGATCTGATCATGGCGTGTGAATGTATTCACTGGACGAGGCCGGAAATTGCGATTGCGGAGTTTGCACGGGAGTTATGTGTCGGTGGGACGCTTGTCATTACGCATTATAATTATCCGCGCATTGTTGGGAATGAGAGTGCTCAGAAGGCATGGGCGGCTATTTGTACGTTTTATGCGGGTGAGGTTCATGACCCGCTGCTTGATCATGCGTTGAGGATCTTGAACTCTGGGACTGAGGCTCTAGGATTCCCGGTGGAGGATTGGGAAGGGGTGAAGCGGTTGTATGTTAACGCTCGGGGGGAGTATTGGGGCCTTTAGGATTAATGATCGAATTGGTAAGAGTCAGGTCAGGGATGGGGAGGAGACGGTTTGGGAGGAGGACGATGCAGACTGGATGGATGAGCAGGACTGTGACTGGTTTAAAGGCTATGCATCTACCTGGACGACGCCGAGTGTATCCGAGTCGGACATTAATCCGCTTTGGGATGACATGGAGAGGGCTTTTGAGGGGAAGAAAGTGAAGACTGCCACGCCAGTTGCTATGGTCTTTGCTACGAAGAGAGGACATAGCTGAGGAGTGAATATGTGTTAAAAATAAAACTAATCTAAGCAATTTATCTCCATTCACATGTCAACCCTTCAAGTGCTTCTTCTCCCTAACAATCTCCTCGACAACCTTCGCCGCTGCTAGAGTCTCTTCGTCCTTGAACCGTCTGCCAGCGATCTGCAGTCCCACTGATGCGCCCTCATACCTCCCCGGATCTTCGTACTTACGCCACTCCCTCTCATCAACCTCGTCCCGGGGAACATACTTCTTATCCTGCTCCGTCAACACGTCTATCTTTGGATCCACGGTGATTCCAGATGGGAACACTGCAGAAGGCAGGTCTACTAAGTTCCAAATAGAAGTGTAATTCCAATACTGCGACTCGCCCATCACTGCCGCGGCAGCGGGATACGTCGGGGAGAGAATAAAATCTACGCCACGACGCTTAAGAAGGGCCTGGTACTCGTCTCTGTAGATATCGCGCTTCTCCTGTAGGGCCCATGCCTCGGGGTGAGAAAGAGGCGTGCTTCGAGTGTAGGAGAGGGCCCAATCGGTTAGTGGGCGTGATGGCTCTCCAGATTGGGCAATAATCTCGCGTTGCTTGCTGGCAGCATCAGGGTAGTATAGAGCGGCCTGGGCCAAGTTAGCGTTCTAGTGTCTATGACCAACGCAGATTCAACGCAGATTCAGCACTCACAATAACTTCCCAACCATACTGGTGCTTATACGGCTCCCAGTCTACGACTTTAACACCTGCCGCTATCAGCTTCTCCTTGGCAAGTCTCAAAGCGCGAGTGATAGGCGGATGGGGGCGGACGCAGCTAAGGGAATGGATTAGCACACTGACAAACAAACATATGTCTGGATCATGACACACCCATCATCCCACATAATAGCCACGGTCATATCCCGTGTCGGAGCAACCGTCTTCCATGGCACAGGCATCAGCGACGTCTCAATATCCCAAGGCTCCTGCTCCAATACAGCTTTCTGGAACAGCTCTAGATCCTCAATCGAGTCACTAGCCAACGGACCCACCACGCCGCGGATAGTCTCCTGGCCGGAAGCAACCACTTTGAGTCCCGTTACAGGGTTCCGCAGTGAGGAAGGACGGAAGCCGTACACACCGCAAAACGCTGCGGGGCAGCGAATTGATCCGCCGATATCAGTTCCAATCCCTATTGGCGCGCACCGAAAGCCCATTGATGCACCTTCACCGCCAGAGGACCCACCTGGACTTAGAGTGCGGTTGAGTGGGTTCAATGTTGTGCCGGTGATGTTGTTGCTGCAGCATAGGTGCTAGATGGCGTTAGTTATGAGATACACCGGTGATGTAGAATTTATGGACATACCATTAATGACTGGGGCTGGTTAGTCCGGACATGGAAGATGGCGCCGGCTTTGGATAGGAGTTGGAGGAGAAGGGCATCTTCCGTGCTGACTTTATCAACCCTGTTACTGGTCAGTAATGTTTGGTTTGTCGAGGTGGATTTCTCCTCACCAAGCTACGTATCCCGTGTTGCATGTTCTGTTTTTCATAGATATGTGCTCTTTTACACTGATTGGTATGCCATGCTGTGGTTGTTTCATTAGAACCTTGCCAGTATAAACTTTGAGCATGTATATATGAGCTTACCAGAGGCCCGACCAGTTTCCCTGTGCGTCTGTAGTACTCGTCATGTTTTTTGGCGCGAGTGATTGCCTCGTCCGCCATGAACTCTGTTGCAAAATTGAGCTAACAAGAATGTTAACGCTGTAACTACAAAATCCGAGTCTTCTAATCTCACCAGTTGGTGGCCCAGCACGGCCCTCTTCAAGAACGCAATCACCACTTCTTCCGCACTCAGTTTTCCATTGCCCATTTCCGCCACCAGTACGGTGGCCGACATCTCAGTAATAATGAGCTCGCGCTCATTCAACAACCCGCTTTTCTTGGGGAAATCAACCACACTCTTCTGCGAGACTGGCGGCAACCTATCGACAGGGAGAAGCCATTGTTTCGGAATGGAATTGTTTAAGATGTCTTTGCCCTTTTGGGCTTGGCTCTCCCAGTTACGGGCCATGTTGAGTGATAATTTAAATTGAATATGGGGGGGTGGTATACCGGTGGTGGATAGAGGAGAGAAGAAAGATAAATACAAGGCACAAGGCACTTTATCCTACGCATTTCCCCGCACACAATCTGTGTGACATGTCTATCTCGGAATCGGAATCGGAACTCGTTCGACGATGACCTTTCCTAACGATACATCCCCGCATGGTAGATCGGAGGGCTCTTATCTGCGGGATATCTTGATGGATGCGGTAGGATGCGGAATAATTCCGTCCTGGCTTCTCATTAAAGGGGAAAAGACTAGTTAGTTATATCTTGATCATTGTATGTTCATAGCTATATCTGCGCATCATAGTTCCATCCCCCAATAGGGCATCTAAATATACAGGTCTCCGAAGGTATATATCCCGGCCAGGGGTCCCGAGGTCCCGAGGTCGGAAACTAATATTAGTAATATTGATGCCTTAGTATGTCTGAATATTTGATGGAGAATAGCCTTGCAGGTTGCGAGGCTCTAAGGTAAATATCGTGAAGGTTGGATTTCAAAGCAATAGACATAATATCCGGAGTACAAAAACCATTTGTGCCGATCGGGTTTGGCGTTGGCGCCCAGGTGCCCTGTTCGGGTTTAGCCTGTCCAGAAGCGGTTTGGTCCTACCTTCTTTAGGCTTAGCACGTCCAAGGAAAGTCTACTCCGTAGCGGCCCGCGCCTTCCCCGAATGGGGTGGGCCTCCCTCCACCGACGCGAGTATATAACTCGGTGCGTCGCTCGACGTCCTCGCTCTCGTCTGCTACACTTCCCTCTCGCCCGGCCGGGCCCAGCGACCTCGCCGCCGTAAAATGATACCGTATTTCCGGATCACACGGCACTAGACGCCCTGTTTCAGCTAGTTGCCTCACACACGGAGCAGTGCCCCTTCTCCTCCACCCGCTAAAGCTGGAGCGCCAGCGGCGCTGTCTACTGGTCCATCGCCCTAAGGATTTTTTGTTCTCAGCTACAGTTGCCGGTCCGCAATCTTTGCTAGAGAGGATTTGCCCTCTGGATACGTGCGTGCTAGCCGGCTCCTCTCTATTATGGGCATCAATAGTGCCCAACTATTGGCTAGGAGACTGGATTAACTCTCATCTTTGCGCATAAATGCGCCTACGATACGACGTTATCCGACTCTCACCTTTTCGTTCGCTGTCTAATCGGCGTACTCGTGTCCTATTGGCTGGTGTATAATCGCCGATCCCTTATATTGAAGCCGTGGCGCGGAATGACCGGGTGTCTTACTTATTTGCGGAGCCTTTTGCCTCGTACAGCAAACTCCGCAATAGAACCTAAAACACCATAATGGTATTAGCCGCTCACTTGAATGGACGCCTTCAGCCGCGCCCTACTATTCTCCAAGGGCGATCGTTTGACTCTGGCCCACTTTCAACAAGGCGCAGCAAGACTGATGATACATAGCCGGACAGGTCGGGTCAAACCTGATGATGCGATACTATATATTTTCCAATTAGAAAAATGCCGTATGCTATAGCGCCGTACCATTTAACCGCTTGGTCATTCTTGCTCTGAATGTTAGTGTATCACATCTCTCCGCCGATGGGCAGCACTTGGGCCAATCTTTCAACCCGCCCCGGATAGAGAGTGGAAGTTGAGGGAGGCGCGTATAAAGAGACTTTTGATTCCCTCCTACGCAAAGAAATGCTGAACTTGTGTTGCTAGCTTCCTTCTAGTCATCTCAATATACAAGATCCTTTGGAATCTCCGTGAGAGCGAAAGAACCAAATTTTTAGATCACAGCACCCCACCCCCTTTTATTTGCTCCAACCGCTTCCGCTTCATTCTCTCCGTCTATTGTGCAAACCATGGTCTCTATCGATCTGGACAACATCATCCATTATCACCCTACCCCCATCCCCAAGCCCCCTTACAAACCACCACACTTGACTGCTTTTTCTCGTGGTTCTTCCTGTCCTCTCGCGAACCAGTCCATTCTGATCCATCCTCTACCTCCGCGCCCCCCGTGTATTTCTCACGAGTTACCGCAAACACGGCATCCTCGTCGTCAGTGTCCTTCTCCTAAATTTATAGATATTGTAGATTAAAAACGCAATTTTACATAGAGTTGCTAAAACAGCTGTAAATAACAGTTATTTATTGTGTTAAGTCAGCGAGTTATATGTCCATTTTGAGTGACTTTATGCAACAGTGGGCATAGTGGGCATGCCCGTGGACGGGCGATGTCGCAGTCTAATTTCTCGTATAGAAGAAGGCCGCAGTGCTACTCCGCGTAGATCTATAGACTCAGAATCCAACCCAGCCCAGGTTGAGTCCGGGACCGGTTGGGTTTTGTGGAAGTCTACCTTACAGTAATACCAGCTAGCTTGATAGCACCTATTTCAGTCTGGTTTGTATATGAATAGGGTCATATATGGTAATAGCTTGGATGTATGTCACTGGGCTGTATTTACATCAAAGGCGCGGAAGGTAAGTAGATGGGCACTTGTCTCACTAACCCTCCATACACAGTAACACAACACAGGAAATAAATAGATAGACAGGGAGAACCTGACGACAATTTATGTTCCAGAAATTGAACCAGTCATGTATTAGGTTGCCTGCAATAACATACAGGCTCCTATTTGTCATGGGTATACTTTCCTTGGTAGGTTCGCAGAATCGTCACAAGGCTATCCTTCGTGCACTCACCATCACTGTGAGTAGTAATGGTGCCACTACACTCGCCCTCCTGGCCGCTGCCCCAGATGCTAGGTGTAAATTCGTCCTTTGCCTCGCCCTTTGTCTCTGTGGTATCAGGGGCGTATGCGCTGCATGCTCCGGGCATGCCGCCAGTGGAGGACCCGCAACTGAAGTCCCAAATTCCCTCCCAGCAGTCCGAAGTTATCTCGATATGGTTGGTACTGCGTGCGCAGGTAGCGAGATCGTCTTCGCTCTCGAAGAGGATATTGTCATCGTTGTCGAAGAGGGTAAAGCCACCGGAGTAACTGCTACCGGAGCCTTTCAGGCCGAGGGAGGCCGAGTTTGCGAAGACGAACTTGATGTTATTCTCGCCGGCTATGGCAGTGGTCGCCATGGCGGAAAGGGCAAGGAGAGACACAATATACATTTTGTCGTATTTTGTCTAGTAGGAGAGAAGGCGAGATAAGTGAAATTGCTTCTGGTTTGATAGATGTTAAAATTGAAGAATTCAAGAGGGATAGGAGCTTATATACCTTAGTTGTTCGCACCGAGACAGTCTTGTACTAGGATATTTACGTAACAATACAGATGCTGCGAGGCTGTACCTCGTGTCCCTAGGGCCAAGGTCGAGGTCGAAATCTGGATAGGAAGGTTACCCTTGCTACAGTGCTCCAGGCCGTGGTAAGTGGACCAACATTTCGAAGCCAAGGTTCTAAATTACTGTAGATCAGCTTTGACTTTATGCACGGTCAACCTTCAACATCAAATAGGAGTAAACGAGTACTGTTGGGTCGAGTTGTCCTACATAGTAGTCGTTAGTACTTCCATACTTTGGCCCCATACTCTGGATATGACGTGTGGTGTGGCCCCCACACCCCCACACTAAGATTGGCCAAGTGAACCAGCCACCCGCAACCAATGCAAACCCTATACCTGGTTGACAGCTGTAGAGAAGGTACAGCTCTATAGCCTCGTCAGTGGAAGTTCATGAAACAAGCGCATAAAGCAGGTGATCAGAAGTAACGGGCCGCAGTACGAATCGATATTGACTTCCTATCCCGGATGCTTGGGAGTAGAAGCAGAGCCACCATTAGTTCCCTAGTCTTTGCTACACTAGTATGCATAGTATGCCTAAGGCCAAGCCCCTGCAGCTCCCGCGCATCCGAGATTTTAGCCAAGATATATCCCGTCCCGTTGATAACGCTGATCTTGTGTACCTCTATGCCGCTATTATTGACGAGGCTATCGAAGTGGGTCGTTTAGATAGCCGTAGCCAGTTCTGACGGTCTGTGCGGAAGTATCACTGGTAGTGTTCTCCATATAAAAGTCCACGAAACCTTTCATCGACGCCTGACTCAGCCTACCATTTTATAGTGGAGCGTTGGACGGGACCTGGTGTTGGGTGCTTGGCACCTGCCTAAATTTCGCCTTATTAGGCCAGATCTACAAGGCATCAATATTTTCTGCACATGAATTCTTGGCAGATGTCTAATTTTGGGAGCCCTACTGAGCGCTCAGGGGGAACCAACCCCTTGTTATAGTAGTTTATATCCCTACTTAATAAAAAACGGTAATTACTTCATAGTATCTTATAGTACTACTCCGTATGGAATAATTTCAAATAAATTAATATCAACTCAATAATTTTATAAAAACGCAAAATGAATAAAAAAAGAAATCTCTCCCTCGGGGAATCGAACCCCGGTCTCCCGCGCTTATCGGTGTTAATGACAAGCGGAAATCATCACCACTAGACCAAGGAAGATGCGATGACCGAGTTTACTGCTCGACCACTTGGCTGGTTGATGAAAGGAAGTGGCTATTTTGACACCATGGACATATTCTCATTCTATCCACAACAAGTGAACTGTTCACACACCGTCCCGCAGATAACCTGGCACCGACGAGATTCATGCAACATCTCATCAACTTCCTCCGATAGCTCGGGCTGCAGTGTAACTGAGTGGATTCCATAGGCGTGGAAACACTCATTGATCACGCGTGCTGTCTTCATAAAGTCCTCGACCGAGTCCTCAGACACGACAACGTGCACTGAGGCGAGGGTTTTTTGTTGGTTGAGACGCCAGATGTGGAGTTCGTGGACTGAGTTGACGCCCTTGATCTGGTGATTGTTAGGAAGAGAAATAGTGGAATGGTGGAGGTGGAGGAACTTACCTTCTCAAGGTCGTGTTGAACATCGCACATGTCAACCCCCGTAGGCACACTCTCTAGCAGGATCATCCCGGCCCGGCGCACTGAATTTGTGTCAGCTTTCTTTCTCTTAACCCTCTTATGTTGAAAGACTTACTCAGAGGGAAAGACGATAGAATAATGAGGATGGCAATGAACATGCTCACACCTGGATCGGCATAGTATCGGCCGGCATGGGGTGCGGCGAGCCAGATAATCAAACCCGCGGCCATTACGCCCAGGTTATTGATTGCATCGCCGATGACGTGGATCATCACTCCCATCATACCCAGATCACCGTGGTCGTGACCGCCGTGACCATGGCTATGGCCGCCTGAGTCTTCGCAGTGATGTTTTTCGAAATGAAGATGCTTGTGATCGTGGTGCTAAGCTGTGTCAGTTGCTCTCCATTAATTGGATTCTTCGAATTGTTGCAGCGTACTTTGGTGCTGGAATCATGGCATTCTTCGCCAAGGTGAAGAACCGGTGTCTCAATCGTGGGTGATGGGCTATGGTCATGACTGTGTCCATGTCCATGTCCATGTTCTGGGCACTGTTAGCGTGATACTTAACAACGACCCCATTAACCGTACCGTGGAGGAAGACTGCACTAATAACATTGAGACCCAATCCGATACACCCAATGATGAACATCAGCTTGGGGTTATGAACATCTAGATGCACCGTCAGTCATGGCCAGACAAGATCAACATCCAGTCTGGGCAATGGCACCGACTTTGTATAGCAATAAATCGCTCAATGGACTGCAAAAATATACTAATACCCAGTCCTAACAGAAGAACACCATTGAAAAAGGCACCGAGCAGCTGAGCCCGTTGCCAACCAAAAGTAAGCTCCTTAGGCGACTCACTGCGCTCAGATTTCTATACTTCACATCAGCATCACCACGCATCCAAAGTCCAAACCACACAGTACCTTCAATGCAACAAGGGCTATAATAAAACCAACTAAATCATTCAGCTGCAATGTATATATATATTAGCCAACAAAATCCCCAACTCCACACTCGAAAACGCTTACATAGTGGAAAGCATCCGCAATCAGAGAAATAGAGTGTGTATAGAAGCCGACTACCCCCGGCATCAGCACATCAATTCCATACCAAAACCACTACCATCACAACTAAGAAAGGGCAACCGACCCGAAATCTCAGCCAGAAAGAAACAAGTCGATATACCAATCACAACGCTCAGCCGTGTTGAGCGTGATAGATGAAGAACCATGACTGCGGAGATCCAATAACAATAGAAGAATTGAAACGGAACAAAAGTCCAGGATCGTAGCTTGCCATTCACGAAAGGGACTTTTTTCGCTGCGAGATAGTGAATACTTCTGCCTTCCACTCTGGTTCAAAAAGCAATGGCTGGTGCGTTATTCCTGCCGTGTAACTCTATGTGGCCGGTGGCTCCGGTAAGGCATGTGAAGGACATGGTATGTGGGATCTTGAGGATTATGGAGAGTTTAGGTGATTTATTGGACTTAACTACTTCAATGTCTCTATAATGTGGTAGTTATATCATTGTTAATGACGGTTGGGGTATGTTGTATAGGAAGGGTTAGGGTTAGGCCCAAGTACTATAGGGGTTAGAGCTACATACATGGGCCCCCTTCCAGAGGACACTGATAGCCTGGAATTTTCCAGGAACATAGTTTCCCCCAGCCCTACAAGAGCTTGTGGATTAAGTTTGTGTATTTTGCAGATCAGATGAGGAATGCAGACTTGCCTACAGAGTACACAGTGTATCACAATATCACAACATCTGAATGTGGGATTCAACTACAACCTTGAATCCATAATGAGTCTTACAAAATGGATTGACTCTTAGATGGAATGATACAACTCTCATTTTTAAAAAAATAAACAATCTTCATACAATTTTCATACAATTTTCATGGTCACATCCAATTTCGTTTCACACAACTTACAAACACCAAATCAAGCAGCAACCTGGTCAGAAAGTCCATCCAGCTCACGCGCCCAGTTACGATGTCGAGAAATATGCCAAATAAACTGCTCAGCCAGACCCTTCGAATCAGGCCCGACCGTACCAACCTTCAACAATGAAACCGCATCACCATAACCCGTAATAACACCATACGACTCCTTGAGCGGAGAACCACTCTGCGCAACCTCAACCTCAGAAAGCCCAATCTGTCTCTCAATAAACGGCACAGCCTCATTGGCACCAGCAATAGCCTTAAGATGAGCGAAAGCCTCAGAGATCCAGTGCTTGAAAACTCCATTCTTCAACAGCGTCTGGATATGTTTTCCGCCAGGCACATAGACCGCATCGAACAGCGTCGACCGCATCCCAGAATAGAAGTGATCGGGGATAACCTTCTGTCCAGACTCGGCAGTCACACCCTGGCGCTGCGAGCCGATCGTGAAGACAGATGCCCCGCGTTCGCTAAGCACTTCTTTCATCGAGATATACTGGTTGAAGTCGAAGTCATCGGCAAGCAGGATGGCGATCCGACGCGTCGTGATGATGGGTTTCTCCGGCATGAATTCAAGTTGGCTCAGACCCTTGGCTTTCGTGCCCTTGTTTTCCCTTGGTGATTTGACCGGTGTGTCGCCGCCGACGTTCTTCGCGACCGTCTTGGCTAGGTCTAGATCGATTGCTGATAGACGTTCTGTCATGCGCTTGTAGACGACCGGGTCGTCGCAGTGGTCTAGCTCAAAGGAGAATGCCTTCGCCACGTGCAGCTTTTCAATCGCTGAGAGCGAATTGTAGAATACCTGTGCTTGGTTGAAGTGCTCCTTGAACTTCTCTGACAGGGCGCGCTTCTTTGCTCCCTGCTGCTTCTGCGGGTAGGTGACGAAGCCACCCTGCTCTGCTGTCGCAGGCGGATTGGCATCGAACCGATTCGGCCAGTAGTTCACCTTGCCCTTTGTGATGCGGTGTCTGCCCTGACCGTCGCGGTTGACTAGACTCATGTATGGACATACTGGCCGGTTGATAGGCAGTTCCTCCCAGTTCGGTCCGAGTCGCGAGATCTGCGTGTCAAAGTATGAGAAGTTGCGGCCTTGAAGCAAGGGATCATCAGAGAAGTCGATCCCCGGAACGATGTGGCTCGTGCAGAATGCGACCTGCTCGGTTTGAGGGAAAAACTCGTCGACGTTGCGGTTAAGTTCGATCTCGCCGATGTAACGGATGGGAACTAATTCCTCGGGCCAGACCTTCGTGGCGTCAAGAGGGTCGAACTCGAAGTTGTCGGCCTTTTCTTCGGGGATGAGCTGCAGACCGAACTTCCATCGTGGGAAGTGTCCTCCCTCGATCGCTTCCATTAAGTCTTTCCGGTGGAAGTCGGGATCCTGGCCGCCGATCTTCAGCGCCTCATCCCAGACGAGCGAGTGTACGCCCAGCTCTGGGGTGAAGTGGAATTTGACGAAATGACGCTTGCCGGCCTTGTTAATCAAGGAATAGGTATTCACGCCGAATCCCTGCATCATCCGGAACGACCGCGGAATAGCCCTATCAGACATGATCTACCACGAACGGCGTCAGCAACCACACCCCAAACAGGAAATAGAAATACTAACCCACTGATTCATGTGCGTAACCTCCGAATGCATATACTGGAAATCCCAAAAATTATTATGCGCCGTCTGACCCTGCGGCACCTCATTATGCGGCTCGGGCTTAACAGAATGAATAACATCGGGGAACTTGATCGCGTCCTGAATGAAGAAAACAGGAATATTGTTGCCGACAATATCCCAATTGCCCTCCGCCGTATACATCTTGATGGCGAACCCGCGCACATCGCGCACCGTATCCGCACTGCCCTTACTACCCTGCACAGTCGAGAACCGCAGGAATAGCGGCGTCTCCCGGCTGGTGTCGGTCAAGATTCCAGCAGTTGTTACGTCCGCTGCGCTCTCGTGTAGTTTAAATTTACCGAAGGCGCCTGTTCCACGTGCGTGCACTACTCGCTCTGGGATGCGTTCATGATCGAAGCGCATGATCTGTTCTTGGTTAGTTTGTTTGCTCGGATATATATCGGTGTATGTATGAGTTTACCTTCTCGCGGGCGATTTGGTCCTCCAGGAGTGAAGGCCCTATCTTCTTTTCATCTACGACGCGGAGCCATTGATCTGGATTGGAGATTTTGACACCATTATCGGTTGTCATGTGTTGCTTATTGTGGACATCGACGGTGTCCTTTTGTAGATCGGCGTACTTGCCGTCTGCAGCCTTGGAGTTTGGATTTGCTGCCATAGTGTGTGTATGTGTGTGTATGTGTGTGTATAGTTGATATCAATGATACCAGAGAGGGAACCAAAAAAAAAAAAAGAAACAGTAGGTGAAGTGTGTGTCGGCCTGAATTTCCTATACTTATATATAACAACCAACCTGATTCCTGTACAGGTGCAACGTCAATGATGTAATGTAATCCCTCCAGCTGCGAGGTCGCATCCAACGAAATAAAATCATACAATTACAAAGCCCATAGTCGATTATCCAACCTATGGGATCCAGCCAGGGTGGAATAACCTCATTGCAAGAATGATCATAGTATGACCTACCACCTATACCCTACCACCGGGCACCTCACCAATGCCGACAAGAAAACCTGTAATAGAGCAAGGCAGACAAGAAACATTGCAAATTCCTGTGTTTTCATTCGCGGGGCAGTTTCCTGCAATCCACCTAAAGCGAGCTATAGCTCGGTAGCTTTTGCCTGTGTTTGTCTGGGGGTGGTCGATCATGGGGAGTCCACTGGCAACCTTGGAATACAAGGCTTTGACATTGATATGATGAATCATACCGATTTCAGATGGCCGATGACGTGAACTTATGCCTGGATTCGAGCTTCCTATTTATTGGACGTCGTGGCCAAGCGGATTATCCTGAACTTGAAGTGTGACGTCACCTGATATCAGTGGAAATCATGTCCGAGCTAACACGCGAGAGAGAGGTATATATATCTCTATATATCTATAGAGGAACTAAGCTGGGAGTTATAATAAGGTAGATTTACTTTATAATACGTTGTAGGCAACTCAATGGTAATCCAAGATCATTTATTATAAGAAATGCTATGCTATATACATCCAAACTCGATCTATGTGCACAGGTATCTCTCTAGTTATAGGACAATGTAGGTATAGCGTCTGAACGAAAATAAAAGGGCAGACAGGACAAGCAAAATCTACATGTTATCCTCACTCCAATGACTCCGCGTCTTCTTCCAAGCGTCCTGTTCCTCCTTGGTCTGCGCAGGACCGTTTCCAAGCCCCAGCCCACGCTCCACCCACTCCTTACTCCCCATCTCAGAAAGACGGGAAAGCGCACGCGCAAACGCAAATCGCTCCTCGTCACCACTGAAAATAGAGGTGTTCTTCAGCGCCTGCACGGACATGCCGAGGTCATCCATTAGGTTGCGCATTGCGTCGGAAAGATCGGAGTGGTCGCTGCCGTCGCCTTTGAGTGTTTTCTTTACGTCGCTTTCGGAGATGAAGAGGTTCGTTAGGGGGACTTCGGTCGTGAGGACTAGTTTGGCCTGTTGAGGTGGGTTGTTAGCTGGCTGCATGATGGAGAAAAAAAGGCGAACAGAAACGTTGCTCCATTACTCACCCTGCTCTCGTATACCGCATCGATAAAGGTAATAAAGCGTCTCGCCAGATCACGCTGGGTATGGTTCATAGTCGGCACGTCCGTGACAATGAACGCATCGTAATGCCGGACGAGCTCGAGGTAGTCGGCTGCACCCGTGGCCGAGCCGATGAGCTCCTGGAAGGTGAACTGCGCAGCTTTGCCGCTTGCACGGGGAACATTGATTTTGCGGCCCCAAACAATCTGCGATTCTGAGTGCGGGGGGTCATTGATAGGGTCGCCCAGGAACTCGAACCACTTCTGCGCGTGCTGCTGTGCGTCCTCGTCCAGCGGGTAGTGGTAGACGGCAGCCGGGGGGCGGGGGATTTTGCGGTAATCTGTTGGGGAGTTGAGGTTGATGACGTTCAGATCAGTCTTGAGGAGGTTGATGCATGGTATGAAGGATTCACGCTGGATGCCGTTTTTGTACAGGTCATCTGGATGACGGTTGGATGTGGTAACAAGGACGACGCCGTGCGACATGAGGATCTCGAGAAGCCTGGGTGGTGAATTGTCAGCTGGATTTTTAATGGGTCCCCGTCCGGGGAGAGAAAGCATACCGTCGCAGGATCATCGCATCGGCTACATCCGTACACTGGAACTCGTCAAAGCAAAGCACACCCGCGAGCTCGGCAATATCGGCCGCAACCATCGGAAGCGCATCGAAGTCATTTCCATACTTCATCTTCACTACGTGCATGCGCTTATGTACGTCCTGCATGAAGTTATGGAAGTGAATGCGCGTCTTGTTCTTGATATTCGGCGGCAGTGTATCGAAGAATAGATCCATCAACATCGTCTTGCCGCACCCGACATCACCATACATGTACAGTCCCTTCGGGAGGTTATCGGGAATTACAGACGTTTCCTTCTTCGCACCACCGCCGAACAGAGAACCGAAGAAGGACGACTTTCGCTGGGGGTCCAGAGACTCGGGCTTGGGGTGGACAACTTTGGGCGGGTGGTAATCTTTCAGCGCTTCAAAGAGGTCCTGTAGATTTTGGATAATCCCTACGAGAATCGGCGCATGTCAGCTTGGGACTGTGCTCCGCCAGAGTTGGTCACAACCTACCTCGCTGGTACTCATCATCTCTCAGCCTCCCTTCCTCCACACGCACATCATATTCCCTCATGGGCCCATCTTGCGCCGGAGCGGTGGTGTTCTTCTCGGCGTCCAAGACTGTAGCCAGACCCCGCCCGTTCGATAATTGAACAACCAGCTGAGGGCAGATCCTCTCTGAAGACACGCATACCAACGGAGATCGACTCGGCTGCCGTAGTGTATTGAATGTCCTCTGCTCCGTGACATAAGATCTACGAGTGGCGCCCCGCAACGTCGTAGGGCGGAGGCCCCGAGGCGCCCGCAGCGCGTTCGGGAAGCACTCCGCGCATAGCTTTGCCGATGGGCGGCTCATTTGCTTTTTTGGACGTTGTACTTGGAGGTGTGTTGCGAGGGTAGACTCGAGGTCGGGTTTAGCTGGCAGAGAGCGGTTGCAATGCGAAGGCGTTAGCCGAGGTATTGTATTGTAGGCAAGGATTAATTTTTCGGGGAGTAGCGGGTCCTCGTAAGGTAGAGCCCAGGCTGTGAATAACAAATTACAGCGAGCACACAATATATATATATATATATATATATATATATATACAGCTCCTGTAGCTCTTGGGCTAATGATCACAAAATCTAGTAGACAACCGTTAAGATGTTAGATCCCATTCTAGAGAAGGAACAGTCGAAAACTATGAAGTCATGTGACTCGATATCATTGTAGCGTTACTTTTCGATCTCTAAACACACAGGATTCGAATTTATATCAAGATTTATATTTGGTACAAAAAGAGCCGAGACACCACGGTTGAGCCCCTCGTAGAAAGGTCCCCCAGGTATATGCACGAGAAGTAAAAAATATATGTACATAACACAGAAGCAGGCAGACCGGGGTATGATCCTGAATAGGATGAGATGTAGATCTGATGCGAAATGGACGCATAATGCGACATTGCAGAAACAATAAAAACAAGAAAGAAACAAAGAAAGAACAACCAAGAACTTGTAGATAGAAAAAAAACCATGCCGTACATCTCGCATCAGATTCGTTAAATCGCAATCTCGTCCTCAGGGACCATGTGAAATCGCTCAAAGAACTGATGACCAGTTTGAAAAAGAATAAAACCAAGTCAGAAGCATGCGTCACCCAGAAAAACTCCAATACACCAACCTTACTCGTGGCAAACATTAATATGAGGTTGATGATAACCTCATCGATGATCGTTGACCGCAACACCAGGATAGAAACGAGTGCTTCTTTATGCAACATTGACGAAGAGGGTCAGCTTGGTGTTCCGCTGCATGGCATTCTCCAGATCCTGATCTGTATAGAGATCGATATAGGACCCGGAGGATTCGTCACGGTACTGCACAACAATATCATCCTGGATCTTCAACCGGTCGCATAGCTTGTCCTTGAGGTGCTGCATACTCACGCCGGATGGGATGCGAATCGCAATCAGGTCATCCTGGAAGAACACCTTGACCTTCATCGCGCTGTTGGTCGACGCGGCCGAGGCTTGGGTAATGGAGCTGGCTTGGCGGTTCATGGGCGGGGGGGCCACCATTGGTGTAGGGTGCGGGTGTGGGTGTGGGTGCTGGGGCACGCTGCTGGGATACCCGTTCGGTGGACGCATTGATTTGCTGCTGCGAAGATTGGCGCGACACGGTTTGCTGGGGTTCCCCGCCGGAGTGTTGCGATCCACCCGAGAATCGGGCATCCTCGCCAAACGCATTGGGGTCGATTTCGAAGTCGCCTTCTCGGGGCGAGAAGAGTTCGCATACGAGTTGACAACGCGAAATATGCGGGGGCATAGACAGGAGCTTCTTAATGTATTCGTCCAGGTTCTGTCGTCGGCCGTTGGAAATCGCGTCCGTGACGTGGGTGACAGGACCCGGCATGAAAGGAAGGGTTCGCCCACGGCCCCGGTTGCCAGCTTCGTCTTCAAATTGAGTCAGGAGGGCGATTTGGAAGTCGTAGAAGTCGTGGTAATAACGCGACAGCTCCCAGCAGCGACCGTCTTCCATCTTCGCCTCGATAATGTACCAATACTTGTCGTTATCGAAACAGTAGCGCGGAATGTAGGCGGAAATGGGGATGAGAAGTTGGTAGCTCTGTTGCGCCATGGGCACCTGTGACAAAGTTCCCTTGCTAGCGTTACGTTGGTGCTCCTGCTCAAAACGCAAATCGTTAGTACATGGAATCGCAAATGGGAGTCAGGAATCTCGCCTACATAAACATTGCTATTTTGACTCATTTGACTCTGGTGGCCCATGGGCATGTTTTCCATGCCCGAGTTGACAGCCATCATGTTGCCACCGCCATGACCAGCCTCAATTTTGCCCAGTGTGATACTGCTGTTTTTGTATTCCGCCGTCATTTTCTTCCACTCTTCAACCTTGGGAACACCGGCGCGTCGCACTGCGTCAAGCGGGTCGGCCACAGCCTGTCCGCTCTGCATATCCCGCAACTCGATGAAAGAAACGGGAATCAGGCCGGGGCCACCGAGACGACCGATGGGTTTGGCGACAAACCACTCCGGGTTAGATTGGGCGATGACGATAATTGCTTCGCCTGCCTTCGCGTCCAATTCATCGGGTCGCTCTGCCTGAAAATCGTACTGGACAATTCCGTAGACCATGGCGCCTTGACCCTTGAGTGCAGACATCCTGAATATGCCGTTTTTGGAGATGGGAGAATCTTGGGAAAGACCGCGGTTGGAGAATGCTGAATCGTGGTCCTTGGACAGGTCGCCGGAACCCCCACTATCCCTCTCGTTTTTGCCGATAACCTCAAAAAAGGAGACGGGCACAAGCCCCCCTAGCACTAGGGATGAGCGGATTGCACGCTTCGTACCAATCCGAATCGTCCTCCCTGCTGATAACGTGAAAGAAATCTCCCTTGCTGAATGTCAATTCCTGCGAGGTCCCCGGCTCTGGTTGGTAGTCGTAAAGCGCTTTAATTACCTGGGAAATGCGGTCAGCCACCGCCAAGAACGAGTTCGAAAGTGGGACAAGGAGGGGCGAATTCAACCCAACTGGCGAATATTGCGCAAGGAACTCTCACTTTTTTGGGGGGTAGAATGGCAATAGCTGACTTGGGTGTAATAGAGATATGGTGATGTTTGGGATCTTTGTCCCCCTTTAGAGATCGCCTAAAGGCCTATATTTTTTTTTAATGAGGAACCCTGATTAATTAAACAGATACACGTATAGGTGTAATATTTCCGGGGGAAACTCACCTTCATGGTTTAAAACCGAGTTAAAATAAAAAAGGGTTTTTTTTAAGGAGAGAGAGAAAAAGAGGAGGAAAGGAGGAGCAGCTTTCTTTTTTAGAAGAGGTGTATAACTAGTTTAGGTGTACCTCCCCTTGACCAGCGTAATCGGTATTGCGGTTCCAACCACGCGGCTTGGATGATTGCCCAGGGGGCCCGCTTTTTACCTTTTTTTTTTTTTTTTACTTTTTTTGCTTTTTTGCTTTGGGGAAGATTTCTTTGTGATGTTGAGTAAGTAGTAGATACAACATACAGAGAGTAGACACACGAGTATATACAACATAGAAATTTCATTTGAGGAATATCTGATATTCATCTTGGTATGGTCAAGGTCAATACAGGATGAGCCTCGGGATATATATATATATATATATATATATATATATCTACTTCAACACTGTCTTATTTGAAGGTAAACCCCCATTGGAATGTAGAATGTATTCTGAATTTGCCATAGATGATCCAGATTACAAGCCGTATTACTTATTGCCGTTGGGCAGACAAATGATAATCCACCGGCTAGTGCAACAGAATCACACCTTACTAGACTAAATACGACTCTGTCCGAGTCTCTCTCTCCACTTGCCTTATATGTACCTTAATATATTTGATAGACATACATTACTAGTACTAAGTGACTAGTTAACTAGTTAACTAAATATGGTTGCATGTTACCAAGGTACCTAGGTAGTACCTATGTTGTAGGTAAGATACATCGAAAAAAAGGTACAAAGAAGGAAAAAGAAGAAAAAGAAGAAAAAGAAGGATCTTTGCCCCTCACTTTCCCCACTTGTAACCATGGATTGACTATACCTAAACCGCGGATTCTGACGTCGCCTCAAAGCCAGCTCTGTCAGGGTTTCTCTTTTGGGATTTTTTTTATTCAATTTAGTATGTACATATGTAATGTTGTATACCTAAAGTATGGAGAGGTGTACTATATATACTGGGGAATCTCCACACAAAGAAAAAAAAAAAAAAAAGGCTGTATCAAAAAACAAAGGGCCTAGAATTGAGGATCGAATCGGATGGGGAGAATTAATCCGTTAAAGATAAAATCTTTTCGAAATTAAAATTCTAGGACCATAAATGCGAGGCTCCTGCAATCTGCCGTGTATGTATGCAGAGGAGATTTCACCAATTTCATGAATTTTTAAGCAAAGTTGAATAATAATATTAAAAACAAAAATAAAAATAAAAATAATAAAAATAATTCAAGACACTGACAAGCTGAAGAAACTCTGTTTAATGTCGATCATCGGCCACATTTCTACCTTGCTCTGTAGGTACTCCATACGTAAGGCATGGATTGTGCCGCTTCCAAGGTAGGTCCCCGCACACCCATGGATATCGGGGTCTCGACCATACCTTCACTTCCTGGGACCCAAAATTTGCCCTACGTGGCGACTTATACGAAGAACTCTGCATATGGGAATAGGTCGTGGATAGATTGAATGTAGGTATTTACTATGCCAATGTGCAATCATCTCCCCGTCAGACCGAGTCACAGAGCAAAGGTTTCGCCCTGTGGTGCTCCAAAAAAAAATTCCAACTCCAGAATCAGACGCCGCCGAGGGGGTGTTAGTATCGTCGCAATTTCACTGGCAATCCCGCGAAAAGAAATCTGGAGGATGCCGAAGAGAACGAAAATGAAGAGGCAACGAAAAGAAAATGTAAGAACACTCGAAAGGATACGGTATAGTTATCCATGTGTGGGTGTAGATGGTGAACGCCTGCCGCTTTTGAAAATACACCAAAAAAAAAAAAAAAGATGAGATGCCTTTAACTGAGATCCAATGGTTTATGATCCTCGGCTCAAAAAAGGGATGGAAAATGTAGACTGGGTTAGATCTGGCCTTTGATATCGACGATACGGTGGGCAGCTGCTTTGGCTTGATCGAACAACGAGCCTGCTTTGCCCGTCAACAGCCGTACAGCCCCGTTCCTCTCCTCCAGCAGTTCTTCGGAGGAGTTGTCGAGAACAAAACGGGCGGTCTGCTCGTCGGACTCGAATCCAAGCTCTTCTGTGATAAATCGAATGTTGACATCTGGTTTGTATCTACAATAAAAAAAAAGGGTCAGCCAGAATGCCCGGACAGAACAGGGAAAAAGTAAAGAGACTTACGCTCTACACATTGTTGCAAGAGCACTCAACCGCTCACGATCGACAAACATGTCCATAAGGTAGGCTCCCATATTCGGCGTATCAAGGTACAACTGGAAGAAACGATGGTAGTTCCCGAGTGCAAGGGCAGAGCGGACATCTAGGGCATGCTTCACGGCCAGGTCTTTCTTATCTTCTGCAGTCACGTCGGCTAGTGCGTCGTTCATCGCCGTCCAGTTCCGTGTGTAAATGAAATAGAGAATACGATAGGCCTTGAATTCTGTCGGGTGTCCTCCCAGTTGTTGCGCATAGAGCACTCGTAGCTGGGTCTGGCACTGGTTGTACTCACCAAGATCCCCTTTCTCCAAGGCGATGCGCGCGTGGATTTCGTAGACAACGACAGTGAATTCATTTCGGATGCGCTGGACCGTTAGGTCTTGACGCAGAGACTTGAACTGGTCACAGATGTAACCGTAGTTGCCATCGTGCTTCCATTTTCTCTTCAATAGATCCAGGGCCTTCTGCAAAACCGGCAGGGGACGAACACTGTCCGGGTTGGGAGCAGATGTCAATCGGAAGTAGTTCTTCTCCAAGGTTTGGCATCGTCCGACAACAGGGCCCTGATCGGCGTCGGCAGTACGCATCGGCGATCCTGCAGGAGAAGAGGGGGATGCCCCGCTGCCCCCAACTCCCTCAAATCGTTTCCTCCTCATCTCCAAATTAGCTTTGGACTTACTAGACTGGTCCAGTGTTATGCGTGGTTTCTTCTCTGTGGTAGGGTGAGTAACTCGATCTTCAAAACGATTGCGGTTAGCTTTTCTCCATGGTGGCGATCCAGTTTCCGAATGATGACCATCAGTTGACTTTCGCTTCCGTGTGGCATCCCCCGGAGAAGCCGGGTGGCTGGACGCCCAGTTTGAAGAGCTGGGGTTGGCTAGGATTTTGTTGCGTTCATTTTGCACCATAGTTTGGGGCAAAGGTAGCCTCTCCCAGTCGATCAATCCCAACTTGTCATTCTGGGCCGCCTCCGTAATAACGTCCCTCAACTTCTCCTGCATTTCAGGAATGCTCACGCTTGCAACCTGGTTTTCGGGAGCAAAGCAGCGTTGCACATACGAGCGTACGGGTGGTGGGAACTCCACTCGCGTCCGGGCTTCCGTATCCGGTGATACCGACTGCGTGGGTTGGGGAGGAACGGTTCCATTCGTTGTCTTGGTATGATGGGCGAGGCTACGACGCGCTTGGACTGGAGTGTATGCTGGAGTCGCTGTCAGGTTATTAGCCTCCTGACACGAGACCAACGAGACTCGAGTCGAATCATTTTTCTTACCAGCTGGAGCAAATCCAGTAGACATTGTGCCTGGGACGGTAGAGCGCCAAGGTGGTACGCTGGAACTCATCGTAGATGCAAGATTTGGAAAAAAAAAAAGAAAACAAGGAAACAGGATGAAAGGAAGTAAAGAGCTACGAAGGGGCAAGACTCGAGGAAGGGCCGGAAGAATCAAGTTTTGAGCTTACTCCTCGGCTGGAACTGATTTGAGATAAGGGAAAAGATGATGAACGTTTATTTCCAGGTGAGATGGTCACGAGCCGGGGGAGAGTGAGAGTGAAGTGCACACAGACTCGACCCGTGACGGTGAGCGATACTCGCTTACTCACCGGACCTTTGTTTATCCGACCATCCCGCGTTATCGCGTTATCGCAATCGCCTTGCCTTTAGATGACATACTACCTCTATCTCTTTATGGTTGATGTTGGGAGCTGGTTGAACCTACTAGATGTTCTTCAAGTCGCTGGATCTGACTACTGCGCTCAGACCCTTGCTATTACCCGATGAGATCCTTCTCTTTGTCCAGGACGCGGTGGGGTTGTATGAAGGGTAAGTAGCTCATGATGATGCTCCTGATGCGGGGTGCTGATTGGAGGCAAAGGAAATACAAAATCCAGAATTACCAAAATGGCCATGCCTATCTCACATCCCACAGAGTGTGCTATGTTGCAGCTGAGGACCCGCGAAAGTACTCAGTGGCTATTGATCTGAAAGAAATCGATCGAGTAGAGTCTCAGGTGCGACATGCATACGTCTTCCTTTTGAACCTTTTACTCTCGACCAGTCACTAACAGACACACGGATTCAAGGCTGGTTTCCTAAAATCATCCCCGAAACTTACCATATACCCGAAACCCCAGAAGAAGAAGACCGATAAGTCGAGGAGCGCAACAGCCAGCCCGGCTCTGGCCCAGAAATCGGCCCTTCATCCGACGCAGTCACTTTCTCACCTCCCACAAACCCACCTTCCACAGAGCTCACCATCTCCAAAGCCAATCAATGCCACTTGGATCTGTCCCATATGCTCTTTCTCCAATCCAGTCCCGTCGAATTTCGACCCCGCAACGGCTAGTGCGGCAACAAATTTACCTCCTTGTCTAGCATGTGGCATCAAACCACCATTTACGACAGTCCTCAAAGCAGCGATTAGTGCTGTAACAAACCGGGAGTCTCAATTGACGAGTTCAATTGGGTCATCGGCCATTGCACAAGATACAAGCCAACCAAATGCCAATGCGTCTCTATCGCCTTTTGAGCACGGGGGAACTGTCTCTTGCCCACGATGTACCTTTGTGAACCATCCATCTCTCATAGAATGCGAGATTTGTGGAGCGCCTCTATCTGCTGGCTCCTCAGCGAATGCCAATCGCGTAGACTCTCCTGCGCCGTTATTTGAGCAATCCCATATCGCGAACACGGAAGTTAGTGAAAGCATTAAACTTTCATTTCGTGAAGGTGGCGATAAGACGTTCCATGAAAGACTTAAGGGTGCATTGGTTCAAAGAAAATGGCTTTTGCAAAATGCGCCTCCAGTGCCTTCGCCGTCGCAAGGTGCATCCTCGCCGGGTTTACCTTCCCTCACCGCTAGCATCGAAACTCCTCTACCCTCAGCACCACGACCCCCCGGAGTTGGTATCGCGGGATTAGAACGCCGAGGGCTGGAAGCCCGGAGGAAAAACGAACTCGTGATAGGGAATGCCTTTGAAGACCTGGAGGCTTTAATGGCCTCTGCTAAGCAGATCGTTGCGCTGGCTGAGACTCTGGCGCGTGAGTCGGGCATGACTACTAATGAAGGTTCTTCAGAAACAAATGCGGTTCTATCCGAGTCCGCCGCGGCACTCGGGATGGTGACAACCAAAGACATGCTCAGTTCCGGATCTGAAAGTCTATATCTATCAGAGCTTGCGCGCGACCTGGCCGAGTATCTCACTGATGACCGCAAAGGCATTTTACAGCGGGAAGGTGGAATTATGAGTCTAATTGATCTCTGGGCTGTCTTCAATCGGTCCCGTAATGGAGTAGAATTGGCCAGTCCTTCGGATTTCCAGAAAGCAGCGGAGCTGTGGGAAAAGCTCAAATTGCCAGTTCGTCTACGACGATTCAAAAGTGGTCTTCTTGTGGTGCAGCGATATGACTGGAGCGATGAGAAGACCATTGAAAAACTTCAGGCCTGGATGGAGGAACTCCGGCGAAATTCCCCCGACGATCCGGTTCCCTGGGATTGGTCCCTATTTGGCCGGGCTGTTACTGCTCAAGAAGCTGCGCATCGGTTCAAATGGAGTGTTGGGGTGGCTGCTGAAGAGCTCGAGATGGCTGAAGATCGGGGGGTTCTCTGTCGAGAAGAAGGTATTGAGGGTCTGCGTTTTTGGCGCAATTATATCTCGTCCCGTGAGTATGATGACTTCTCCCGCCTTGTTATCTGAGGTAGGTGATGCCATAGGAATGTATATACAAAAGTTGCATATACCCCCACGCCGGGCATAATAAAATGATGCATGGAACACATTTGGGGTCGGAGCATGAGGCTGAGGACCTTTGCTTCCCCCACTATGAACTGGTGATCCTAGCTAAACACTGTGTATCCATGCCTTCGATGCACCTGGACTAAAGGATATTGCCAAGATCCCGTGAATGATGCCACTACATACCAGTAACTAGACCTACAATCATTAATGCATCTACCTACTTACGGTGGTTACAATGGGACAGCGCTGTGAACCTAAAGAATGCCAATCTAAACTTGGACATTGGGACATCAACAGATTCACAGCTATAGATCACACACCAGGCTCTAAAGGAATTGCACTATAGTCTATATTCTTTGTTTTCATCAAAGAATTATATTGAATATTGGTTGTCATTCCATATTTGGATCTATTCTACTGCATTCTGATATCCCGCAAGACAAAAACGGTGATAATAGGTAGGATACACGAAGTTGTATGGAAGGAAAATAAAATAAAGCTCATCAAACCCGCGTGACAATTTCCTATTCTAAAACTCAAACGCTAATGACTGACTTGAAATAGTTGCAAAATGGAACCGAAAACTGCCGCCTGTGCAGCTACTCTCGGCGACGTCGATCTGACTCAAACACAGTGAATCCATCAATTCCCCGCCCATCACTTCCGCCGGTGCGGAAGAACTCGGTCATGACCCCGATGGCGTAACACGTTCCTGCGGTGGCTGTGCCTGCGATGAGCATTCTGCGGCCTGTTTTGCGAAACGAAGACTCGGATTTTGTGGTTGGTTCGGGATCGGGACTAAAGGATTCGGCTGCTGAAGGAGGCTAAGTTGACTTGTTAGGAAGCCACCTGAATAGACAGTTCTACTGTCTACTCACCTCACTGGTGGATTGCCGGGGGGCTCCAGCGTATGTGGTAGCGGAGTCCATTGAGTCGTGGCGGAGATGTTGGGCAATTTCGGCGTGAATTTTTGGTTCTTCGTTTCTTGCAGTATTTGAGAGGATATGACGAGGGGTGCTTTGGGTCTTTCGGAAGACAAGAATGTTGCCTCCACCTGTTGCAATTTCATAACCATCTTCTTGCATCTTCTCGAAATAGGGCAGGAATTTGGCAGGGTTATGCAGTCGAGACAGAATTTCACTTGGACGACTATCTTCATCGACACCGAAGAATGAGTCTGTGTGTGCAACTGAGACTTGCGACGTCGACGTATCAAGAGCCAGAATGTGGAATTTAGGGGAAGGGGTTTGGGAGGCTGCTGGTTGCTCTCCTTTTTCAGTGGCTAGGTTCTGGCTTTCGAGAATGAAGTCACCAACACGGTCTTCGGAAGCATCGAAATCCAGCGGATTGGCTTGCGCCTTCGGTTCCAAAGAGGCATAACGAGAGCGAATTTCACTAGCATCCAGGGCGCTCAGGTCCTCATACTCATTGGGACCCTGAGAATTCGCCATCTCAGAAATGAATTTTGCCTCTAATTCATTCCCCGGTGTGCAATCGACAACATTGTTGGTTATCCTAGATGTATCAAGACCAGTAGGTACTTCTTGCCGTAATTGATTTTCCTCTGTTGAAGTTGCGTTGCATATAAAACTGGCCTCTAGCTCGCTCCCAGGAGGACAATTAACAGAGGTCTGGGATTCCGGTTGGGCAACGTCCTGGCTGGCTGACTCTGATAAAATATGGGCTTCAATCTCACTGCCTGGAGAGCACTCAAAGCTTTCTTGAGCGCCTGTCATAGTGGCGGTGTCAGTCGTTTGACGAACAGGACTGTCAGGCTCAGATTTGAGACTACGGAGATCAGAAGAAAGCTTTGCATCCACCTCGTTGCCTGGTGGGCAATCGATTGAAATACCGGCTTGTTTGCTCGGAGGTTGTGTCTCCAACCCAGACGGAGAACTCTTGACAGGGCCACTAGGAGAATCACAGACGAATTTGGCCTCCAGCTCACTTCCCGGGGAGCATTCCACATTAGTGCCCGCAGTCAACCCGGCATCCAGATTTAGTCTGTTGGTGTTTCTGTTGACCATGAATGTGTCCGGCTGAGAGTTTGCAGATCCAGAAGGGCAATCGGTCTTTACAGAGGGCTTTCGTTTGGTTTCCTGAGGGACTTGAAGCCTGTCCTGTGCATCCTGGGAGGTAGGGGTCGAGGTAAAGTGTGCATTTAGCTCAGTGCCTGGAGGGCAGTCAATGGCTGACTGTGCACTTGACAGGGCTTTGGGACTTAGTTCCGTGTTTCCGGGCTGGAACTGTCCATCCTCGGCCAAACTTGGGCAGTGAGCGAATTTTGCGTCGACTTCAGTACCTGGGGGGCAGTCAACCACTTTGTGAGAGTTGATTTCTGCTTCCGGCTTGCCGGATTCAAGTACATCGGGCAGTGGTACCGGCGCCATGCGTCCACTAATAGGGTCGTACTGCAATCCAGCATGATTGGCGTCACTTCTCGTTTGCCGCTTGTCTACTCCCGGCCCAGCATTGCGTGGCTTTTTTAAACTGGTAAGTGACTGAAGGAAACCATTTAATGAAGTTTCGTTCTTATCGAAATTCTGAAACGGGTCCAATCGGCGCCCAAAGACGGCACTGTAAGGGTCTGCCTCTATGTACTTTTTCAGCAACTCCATGCGTTTGTGCGTCTGCCCTAAATCTGAATCCCAGAGCCTTCTTTCTCGGTCAGGTGGGAGGTCGGGGAACCTTGATTGAAGAAGCCAAGCTGTCCAGCTCCAGCTTGAGTGTGTATCGTTGGGGGCAGCATTGCTGTCACGGCAAGTTCCGGGCTTTTGCTGATTGTATAGGGGGTATCGCTGATATCTGTGGAAATATCGTGAAATACGTTCTGTCTTGTCTCCTTGGCCGTTTCGTGCACATCGCCATATACTCCGATTTGATTGTGGGGTCACCAACTGGGAAGATGGTGGGCGAATAACTCGAGGCCCCAAATTTCTGATTGACATTGCAATTGGGGAACTCATGATGAATCCTCAAGCTTGTATATGAAAACCCAAGGTGTTCTTTATTTCTGACAACTTGTCGCGGTAGTCAATGAATCTGTCGATCGGATCCACTTATGGGGTACACTGATAAGAGGAGTACTAATCCTGGACGAGCCTGTCCTACAGTGGCCTTTCAACAACAAAAGCGATTGGGATAGATGGGACAATAAGATTGATATCCTATATTCTCGGTCACAGTTGAAGAATAAACGAAAAGGAATGAGGAAGGATGAAATGAAGGAGGACCAGAGGGCTCCGGATCACAGATCAGCAACGGGGTACAGCCAATCGGCGGTCGCGGCTCGATTTCCCCGCAAAGTTACGTCAGCAGAATTGACGTCACACTTGGACATCAGTTTCATCGCTGCTATTTGGGGTCACTCCTTGCGTTAACAAAGCAAGTATGAGATACACATAAAGGCATTAATTCACTTCAAATGACCAATTTAAGGCTAGGACAATGATATGTGCCGCCCCTGAAGCAACAACATTGAGTCTGCCAATGCATGCAGGCAAGATCTACAAAGGCGTAGAAGCAAAACTCAAGAATAGCCCTGCTAGCGTTCGGTAGCCAGGTCATCAGAAGCCACCACCTTAAAATACTTGAGTAAGATGGCTAAAAGAAGCCCATGCTCCTTATCTAAGCCACATCTGAAGGCCGAGATAACAAGAAAGAGGCATGCTCACGACACTGGAACAGAAATGTTGCTTGTCAATATATATGAGTACTGACATACATATCTACAGTGCTTCTCTATACTCCCCGACCATAAATTACAAGAACAGTTAGCCGCTTATGTGGTCTACTTAGATGTTCTTTTTCTGTCCTTTTAGATATGTATACGAAGACGGTACTACATTGTATAGGAGAATTTCCTATGTATAACTTCAGAATAATGCTTTTATTCTAAATCGCGTACTTTGCAAATACAAATATTTATAGTCTCGTTATCGCATCGTTGTGCTCCGACCTCGGGAAGTAGTCAACGTGGGGGAATTCCTAATCGATAACGCCCTCCAGGGCATTTCCCCACAGAATCCCCGACCGAATATTTTGAGCGACTCTCAACAAATTCTTCTCGAACCGATTCCGACTCAAATCATTTCGACTCAAATCCTACAAAATGTCTAAGCCAACACGTACCCCCGTCAGCACTAAAGGCGCACCCGTTCCACCGCCAATTCTCTCCCAAGGTATGGTCGTGGGTAACATGATCTACTGCTCTGGCCAGTTGGGAGTAAACCCGACCACAGGTAAAATGGTGGAGGGAACTGTCCAGGACCGAACAGTACGAGAAACGCGAAGTCTAACTTGTGATATATTTTCTGATATGCGAACAGCGACAAATCTTGCGCAACCTTAACGCCGTCCTAGAGGCCGGAGGGTCGAGTCTCCAAGATGCAATCAAGGTCAACATCTTCCTCACCGATATGGCTGATTTCTCGGCTGTGAACGAAGTCTACGCTACTTTCTTCTCGGATCCTAAGCCGGTAAGAATTCCGTGGCCAAAAGAACGAGATTCGAATTCCACAGGAAATAAATATGATCCAGTCTGGAATTCGTCCCTCTTTCTCTCATATTCCTAGAAAAAGTGGATCATTTCTCACTATCGTCGGGCCTGGCCCTTTTAGGTGCGTACTTGCATTGCCGTAAAGTCCCTCCCTCAGGGATCGGATGTCGAAATCGAGTGTTCTGGCCTGGTTACCAAGGTTGGCAATGGACGCAGTTCTAGACTTTGAACAGGACTGCAAGGATGACGGTGACGTGGGGAATGAATAGGCCAGACAACTCCACCTGAATTGTGTCATGGCTCTTTTTGATGGTCCAACTCGCGTCACTCTCCACCGGAGGTGAAGAATCAAATGTGCGAGAAATATAGCCACGTGATTTATGTATAGTTTACAGGCTGGCTCGAAATATTACGAACCCTTTGGTCTTGATTATTATGTAATTTTTGTTTAACACTTTTCAATAAATACAGGCTGAAACCAAGGATGAAGGGTGGAGATTGGAGCTGTATCGCTCAGGAACAGGGCTAGCGTCTGCACTTGTCCATGGTACAGGTTATGAACCCCTGGAAGTTAATTATATAAAAGTCTCTTACCTAGGTAAATATGGAGTACCGGGAGCATTCATGGACGCTTGATATTATTGTTCATGTCTTCAAGGAAGAGAGTCAAAATTCGAGCTAACACTGGAGTCCTAGGTCAAACAAAGGGAATGTGGCTGAGTCAACTATAGCTAAACCCGTGGAGCATCCATGGCTCTCGCATAAGCTTGTATGCTTGGTTCGTTGTTCCTGCATTTCCAAAGTCTTTTCGATCTCGAGGATCCATGCAGCATGCAGCCACAAGCCCCTGAACAAAACTAAAGAGGCCAGACCTTGGAGTAATAGAAGAAGAAAATTGGAATCTAGCGAAGGCGATAAGGCTACAGTTTCTCGGCCTAATCGATTTTACACCATTTGCAATCTCAAACGCACTAGGAATGCTGAGCATCCGAAAATGACGACAAGAATGAGGGGAAATCAACTGCCAACTCCTCCATTCCGATCGGGCACGTGGTGTATTTTATCATTTTTCAAACTCGAAAGCTCAATCAGCTTCTATATTGTATATTCTACACTATGAGCAGGTGTTCGTGTCAGATTGATTTTATTAATCTATTATTCTGGAGATAAAACCTAAAGTTTCGATAGAGTGTGAAACATTCTTGATAACTGCCGGTTTTTAATGACCCGATTCTGAGCCAGGGCTCATCCCCTACTTCTATACGGAGTAGTGGATTGAACTAGTAGCGATGTCGCACAGCGTATGACTCGCACGCTAACTAATATAAATTAAATTTATATGTTATATGAGACTCCAAAATGCAGAACCAATTTATAGCTCACAGAATGCTAGACAAGTTCTTCTACCAAGCGAGAAGCACTAGTCGGCACACCCATGCTGATTCTATTTCTAGGGTTCTTTGTTGATCTTAAGCCCAAAGGAGCTAAGTGCGTAAGACTAATGAAATTTATGGTCATGATGAGCCGGGGGGTGTCTGGCGAACAAAGGCCCAAAAAAAGCCTGTGTATCGCAGACTTTGAGGTGGTAAAGAGGCCCAGGGGGCCGTAATTGGGGCCACGCACTTTAGGTGATTCCCGACACGCTCAGGTACGCGTGTGGAAAGGACCCACTTAGTTGGACGCCCCCAGGCTAGACCTTGCAACGGACTAAACTTTGCTGGGAATTGTCTTTGCGCTTGCGCTTTTCTTTTCCTCTTTTCCTCTTTTCCTCTTTTCTTTTCTTTTTTTATATTATGATCCGCGGCTTGGGTGGGTTTACCTCGGACCCCATGGAATTTATTTTATTTATATTTTATTCTTTTCGTTAATGGTCTCCGAGACTATTGATCGGCTTAAGTGAAAACGGCTTTCCAGGCCCTTGACTGGATTCTTTTGTCTTTCTTTTGCAGAGTTACATTGTTCAAAATTAAATTCTCATTTTCACACAGGCTCTTTTTTATATATCTATACTCCATATACTCCGAATCTGGCATTGGATTGTAATACACATATGCAATACAATTATTGTAGGTTATGAGTTAAGTACCTGCTCAATTCAGATTTGAATGTTGAGTTACAATCTCGTCGTGATCGTTTGTCGATCCTGATATTCCCAATGGCTAGATTGTGCTCCAGATATTATTGTTGCACAGACAAACGGCGTAGCGGGAACAAAAGAAAAGGAACATATCACCCAAGTACTTGTACATTGGCCTCAACACTGTATATGCCGAAGAGGGCTCCAGTCCGATGTACTGGTACATATAAAGCGATCGTGGACCTGTAGGGAATCGGCTCATTCATTATCCATTCCGGTTTGCTGCATGGCATGACCCATCATTGCCATTATGTACAAAGTACTGGCCAGACTGCCTAACTGCCTTGTCTCGGCAATATCGTGCAGGTTAGTGTTTAGGGTAGCTTCAAATGTTAGCTACATTTGTTTCAGATAAGGGCCTTGGGAGAGATACCTTGGAAGGTGTTAAACAAGCTACAAATATTATGGTAAAGAGAATATAAATTTCTAAGTAGTTAGATCAGAATACCTAACTAACTAGTTATCCATGGATGTAGGAATAATATCAAATGCAAAATCAGCAGATATCACAAGCTAATAACTAAACAACTCAGGGGCAACAGAAGTGCGTGGCCACATCCCACGCACCTGCCAAACGCCCGGGCCGGCTGATTAAATACACTAAAGTACACTAAAATACATTAAAATACATTAAATACACTAAAATACGTAATTTACCGTAAATTATCCTTGTTGACGCTGCCACAACGTGTGCCGCTCCCCCCATTTCCACCTTTCTCCTCCGCCCCCCCTAATGATGGAGTGATCCTCTTCTTCTCTAATCCTCAACTTCATTCACTCATTTACTCCTTTCTTTCTCTCCCTTGTCTGTTTTTTTTTTTTGCTGTGCTCGCCTGTTGACCCCCAACGGTGTTTTTGACCTAGGCCAATCTCCCCTTGCATCGGTCACCCGCATTGCCTGTTTTCCCTTTCTTTGATCTCGTTGCCCCGGACGGTTCTACAGAAAGTCGTCGTTCGCTCCTTACAGCTTTTCTAAGCCCACACTCGTTTTTCGCCTTTTTGGGGGTCGTTTCAGATTCACAGAAATCCCCCTTTCCATTCGTTTAAGGTTGGATTATTGTTGGTGGTCTCATCGGTTGCCATCGAGACATTGGGTACCTGGAGAATAATCTTGGAAATTGTGAATTTATCACATTTGTCTGAATTTTAGTTGTGTTGGAAACTCAAATATTCCAGGCGATCTACCTATTGTCACATCCCCCTGATCTTTCATGAGGTGTTGACAGACGGTGTTTATCGCATTTTTGTACACTGACCTTGGACTCCCTCTGAGCTATCACGTACAGAATTGTTCAATATGCGTCCCGACGCCATCTCCGCTCTCACAGCTTTCCTCGCTGTAGGCGGTTTCCAGCTCGTCGCAGCTCAAGATGCTCCCGAAGCGCACGTTCAACGGCCCCGATGGTACTTCCCAAAGGATGTCAAGCGAACGGTTCGCAGAAGCGCTGAGCCCGAACCTGGCTCCATCCTCGACGGTGTACTCGACAATTTGAGTCCTACCCAGGTTATTTCATCAACGGCTACTCCCGCCCCCGAAACCTCCGCCCCGGCTCAGTCCCAGAAGGGACAGGAAGTCGTTGTTGTGACCATCTCGGTCGACCCCAAGAACCCCGAGATCACCCACCGTATTACTGGTACTTCGACCATTGCCGGTGAACCAACTGGTACCACTACCACGACTACTCAGAAAACGGAGGGTTCGAGCATCGAGAACACCACCAAGAAGAGCTCCGAGGCTGCATCTCCCGATGCGGAAACCACAAGCAATCAGGGATCGGCGATCGACTCATCAGCCAAGCCTTCGACTACAACCTCTAGCGCCGGTCTGCTTGGTGATTTGAACTCGGGTTTGGGCAACCTCCTCGGAGGCGATTCTACATCCTCAACTGTGGCCACACCTTCGACTGCGACCGCATCCTCGACTGCGACCACACCCTCGCCTGGGACTACTACCTCCGACTCATCAGCCAAGGCTTCGACTACAACCTCTAGCGCCGGCCTGCTTGGTGATTTGAACTCGGGTTTGGGCAACCTTCTGGGAGGTGATTCCACATCCTCAACTGTGGCCACACCTTCGACTGGGACTACTACCTCCGACTCATCGGCCAAGGTAACTTCGCCTGCTTCTTCTGCTCCTGCCGCATCCTCTAGCGATGGTCTCCTTGGTGACTTGACCTCAGGATTGGCCGGCGTTTTGGGCGAATCATCAACCAATAGCTCTGTATCCGCGACACCCACTGGCACCTCTAGCGCGAACAAGATCAGCAGCGCAGCCTCAAGCACGACAAGCTCGGGGTCGGATCTCGCCGACCTTTTGGGACTAGGTGACAAGTCTTCCAGTGGCAACAGCACAAGTGTTACTGTGTCCTCGGATGCTTTGAGTTCACCTACCATCCCAGTCAGCGTACCCGCTTCCGCTACTAGCTCACCGTTGACCACCTCCACCTCCTCTGGAACTACAACTTCGGGTGATCTCGTCGGTGGTCTCGTGTCAGGCGTGGATTCTCTGCTCGGTGTCACCTCTACTGCCACTGGTAGCACTGCCTTGATTCCGACTGCGTCTGTGCCAAATGGTAGCCTTTTGCCGCCCAAATCGAGTGGTCTCATTCCTGGCCAGGGAGGTACTAACACTGGTGCCATCCCCACCCCGACCAAGACCCTGGGATCAGTTCCCGTCCCACACTCGCCCGGCTCTGACCCTACCTCAACTTCCGGATCTGAAACCTCTGGTTCTAACACCGCCTCGGCTCCTTTGTTGGGCACTACCACCACCGCCTCCGTTCCCGGCAGTGGCTCTCACGAGAGCTCCAAGGTTCCTATCCCCACCTCTCACCCAGCCTCCACTCCCCTTCCCTTGTCGACTTCGTCGACTGCGTTGACTAAGGCGACTTCGGCGAGCGAAGAAACGAGCACGGCCAAGACCACCGTGGAGCCTCAGACTCCGACGGAGACGCCTACGCCCTCCACCTCCAACGACAACGACTGGATGCCATCCACCATCCTTATCGTGCCTACCGTCACCGCTACTGAGAGCTCGACCTCCGATCAAACCGCGAAGCCCACAGCACCACCGTCGCTCCCTGGTTCTATCACCCCGTCGAACGAGGTCACCGAGCCTCCGGCTGACTCCATCTTGCTCCAGCTGGGTTTCAACAGCCAGCTGCCCTGGTCATTTGTTGCAACCACTCCCTTGTCGTCGTCGCAGATCTTCAACTACACCCCTCAGGCTATTGAGAACGCTTTGCCAGCCCTCTCTGCCAAGGACACCCCGGTTATGTTTGCTATTGAGCCTTACTATAACTGGCAGTCCACGGGCTATAACGCCACCCTTGCGATCTTCTTTTTCCCTCGTGACAAGGTTGATGCTCTGAAAGCGCTTAAGGTTAACCCCAATTCTGCTCTCTACAACCAGGCTAGCGAATCCATCCAGTCATTGATGACGATGGTTGACCCTACAATCCCCCTCGAGTTCACTGGAAACTACCCTAGTGGTACTAGCGACTCAACTGGCGGTAGCAGCAATGGTGGCGATGATGATGGCTCTGACAGCGGTACCAACGAAAACACTGATGGCTCTGCCGGGAGCTCCAAGGCTAAGGCTAGCTCTGTTGGAATCGGAGTTGGTGTTGTGGCCGGTGCTGCTGCTTACGGTGCGGGTATGTTCTGGGTAGCCCGCCGCTACCGCAAGAGAAAGCAGCTGCACCAGCGCTCTAGCTCGACCGTTGAGCAGATGAGCCAGGGAGGTTCCGCCGCTGGTTCGATGCTCGCTGCTGGTGGCCGTGCCCCCAGCCATGGTAGCCGTGGAACTGCTCGTTCACAGATGATCAGCGCTCCCGTCATGGCGGAGAACTCGTTGGGATGGAACTAGACATGCTTTTGACAATACGACGTATAAGCCACTCCTTCCATCACGCCCCACCTTCTTTTGGACCCTAAGACGACAATCAAAGGGCACCTGGACTTTTGAAGACCGTTATCTCCTCCGAGATAATTGCTCTTTTGAATCCGCCAATGCTCTCCCCACTCTCCAACGGAGGCAGGGACAGAGAGACTGCACAAAACTTCATTTTCATTGTCTATCATCCGCCAAGGATTTACATGTCACATATCACCTATCTCTTCTTCCTGTGCAATTTTTGACCGGCCACTTTTCTTCTCAACATGATACTCTGAGCGACGGTTGGTCGTCGCTGCGCGTGTCGCGTTATCATTTCTTTTTTTCTTTCTTGACATATTCCCCCTTTTGTTCACCAAATATTTCTTTTTTATCCCTTTACTCCTTTCAATGGCACTGGGACAACCAAATTTGGGACGAATCTTTTTCTCTACTTTTGGCTTCCACTTGAAAGCTCTCTCTTATGAACTATTGGCCATTCAGTCTTTGGACTTGCACATTAATAATGGATTTAGGTGGCATCTTTTTGACAATGGGTTTTCTCTTCCCATGCCCTTTGTCCTCTCTCCCCTTCTCTCTCTCTCCCCACCACCCCTGTCTCTCTGTGTTGTATCCCAATTATGCTTTTTTTTGTTTTTGCGTTTCTGCGTTTCTGTACAGATGTATGAAATGTGTCCAAGTGCCGTGTGGCCCTGTAGATGTGGACGTGAACCTGTCAATGAGATGAGTAGATCTCCTTTTTCTTCAAACTTTTCATGGAAGTAAATTGTAGTGTAGGCTTGCTATTCCGGACATTTCACTTGCAGTAGACTCAGTGTCATGAGATATACACTGTATCAACTGACGCTTTCGTAGATCAGTCGATTTGGAGTGAACATTTGGCTAATACATACGAGTTGGATGAGAGCGGATTATACAGAATGTCACTTATCCCTCCGCAGAACTGTATCCTTTTCTCTCCCTCTCACAGACAAGCTTAACCACTTCAAGATGGCCCTGCTCTCTCGCCAGTTCAACTGCACACTGAGTTCGAGGTGTAGGTCTATGGGGAGACACGTTATTCTGTATTGGGGCATTGGTATCAGCCCCCTCGTCGAGAAGGAAGCTGACCATATCAGCATTTCCTATCGCAAGCTGCAAGGGCCAGAAAATGTCACCTCGCGGATGAATCTCGACATTATATTATGTTTATATGATTACGAGCAAATGTGAAATACTAGAAAATTGACATATCAGGAAAAATAAAATATACGGCAAGATTCCAGGTATAGGGCTGTCTATGAAGTCAGTCAGCTATATCAGTCTGTCGTGGCTGCTACTTCTTTCGTATTATATCCTATACGTTCGATGAAGGTTGATAGATTCAGGATTATACAGACATAAAGGACACACTCTTCTGTTGGATTGCCAAAAGGGCCAACTTGTCCAAATCCGAGTCCGATAGTTCTTGATCAGTCTGTTTCTGTGCCCTAATAACCAAATTTTGGCCATAATGATGCTCAAACTCGACTCTCGTATCCCAAACGAAGAGCGGTGAGTTCTCACGGAAGAAATATGGTTGACCTTCCTTCTTAATAAGGTCAAACTTCTGCCGATGTGCAGATTGGTGAGCCGTTATGAATTCCCCTGTCGTTGTCACTGCGACACTACAGTGCCAAGGACTCATGGAAAACGAGTCCTTCTGCGGGATAAGGGGACAAGACAGCTTCGTCTGCCCTGACGACGGATGGATAGAGAGACGCAGTGAGTCGGGATAAATTTGGCGTACTAGCTCCGCATACTCCTATAACCTATGAGATTAGCCCTCTTGTCGCTTTATATGGCGCTCGGAGTGACTTACCACTCCCCGGACGATCATGGCCTTTGCAATACTCTTGATTCTCTTTTTATATTGTTTAGGACCAGCGCAATCCCTGGTCACTGGGCTGAATTTTAAATCAACTTTCATGAACTTGTCGTATCCTGCATGAAATCAGCCATGAACATTGATTCGACTCAGAAGCCACAGACTTACCATTGTAAGTCCTCAGATAATCCTCATCACTTTTCAAAAACTTATCGACGTCAAAGCCTGGCCGTCCACATCGTTGATGAAGTTCAGCCCTCGATAACCCACAGAGCTTGACATAATCCGATTTGGAAATCTGGGCACTGGTATAAAGACCCAGCATATTCATAATACGGTGGAACTGGATACAAGCATATCCCTTCTCAACAGCAATCTTCCGCAGTCGATTCCCATATTCCCAGACCTCCTCATCAGAAATTCCCGTAAGATCTAAAATCCAGCAATCAAATTAGTGCCCGATCCTATATCTGATATCCAAATTCATAGGATAGTTCAATCTCACCATTATAGCAAATCCCATCCGTAACAATAACCACAACCGCACCAGGCGGGTAAACAGCCTTAATATCCCGGCAGAGATTCACCAACCGCGCCAACCCAAGCTCATCCCCCAAATCTGGAAGCGCACCTAGCACCTTGTCCATACGGTTATTACTCTTCATTGGAAAAGCAGGTAAAACCATAGGAATCGCCCTATTGGCTGCGACGTGTGTTTGCACGCGCGGCGTGAACGATGACCGACCCAGCCATTCTCCGGCTGCGGTTGTGCGCTCATGGGAACCATAGCGCTCCACGATATTCATTATTTCTTCCGCCTTCAGGCGGGTTGATGTGGGACATATTTCCGGTGCATCTGGATGAGTGTCGGTGGCAACTTCAGGTTTGGGAGGGACTGGGTGTGGTTTGGGGAGAAAAGACACTCGTGTCTTTGGAGTAGAGGTGATGCAGTCCAAAGGGATTATATTTAGGTGAGCAGAGACTTCGACTGTTGCTGTCGCTAGCATTTTGATATAGCTCATGATAGACAGGAGTAGGGATGTCGGAGTTAGGGATTGGGAAGGGATAGATTCGGTATTCGAATGTACTTTTGATTTATAAGGGTGATGTCCTCGTGTCTTGTATTGGAATTTAGTGGCTTTCTATCGCCACTTCCATCTCTCTTTCTTATACACGTGGTCTTCGTGTGTATTCGCTGTTTCAAACTTCCATGTGCCCCCTTCCCTCCTTGCTTTCTTCCCCGTTCTTTTTCTACTCTTGGTAACTTTTCTCCGGTAAATTCTTAGTGGAGACTATATTATTGGACTAAAAAGCGAAAAAGCTAAAATAGCATTGTTTATTGTCTGACTACACGTGTGCGTGTCTTGAGATATGATTGTTTCCATATGTCCGGATTAGGCATTTTTGAAGAGCCCCGGAGAAACATAATATGAATACTAGAAGTGAATATCAAGCGTTACAGGCAAATATCTACTATTTGGACAGTGAAAAATGCGCTCCCAAAAAAGAATCCTATAGCTAATCGAACGGATTGTTCATACATGACCTAACCCAAGCCGTTTCCCGATTAGGTCAAATTTAGAAGAAGCTTACACGAGAGGCCAGGAAAGAGGGGAACCAATTAATGTCTAAGGCAAAAGATTCCGGGAAGAATATGTAACACGTCGATGCCATATTTGATTATCTTCAGGGCTGAAGGCTAATACATCACGAAAAGTCAAGAAGGCCCAGGGTTTCTAGAGGGGATCTCGACACTAGACTGGCCGATCAAGTACCCACTGCTCTCGGTACAAATGTCAGCGTGTACCGATGACATAAATCACTGCAGCTGTTGGGGATGTCCTAACTATACTCATGCCAAGGCCGGTGAGTATTTCCATCCCCCCAAACCTCCGTCATTCACATCGAGTATTACGTCCGAAGCCTTTACCAAGAAAATTGAGCTGACCTGTAACTCTAATAACGTCTTTCAGGCAACCCCATTTAGTCACAAGAAGTATGAAGCTTCCTTTTCTCGCACCCAGCGATACTCCATTCGCTTCGCGGTCTCCATCCCGACTTCGATACCACCGTAATGCGCCGAAATAAACTCCAACATTACATCAATCCCCGCAGTAATTCCAGCAGATGACCATATCTCAATCTTAGGTGGCAACGACAGGCCATCAGACACCTTGTCATCGGGAACAACATCACGCAGCCACCTTTTGTTACGCTGCCAATTCACGTCGCCCGTTTGTTTTGTGACATCGTCGTAGCGAGCTGAATTGGTTGTGACCTGTCGTCCAGCTAGAAGTCCAGTCTGCGAGAGGACATGGCTGCCCGTGCAGATAGTAATGATGCTGTGGCGGACATAAGGCGCAACCGCGGTCAGAAAGTCCTGAACTTCCTGTGTGTTGGAGACTTTAACGTCATCGAGTGTAGCATCAGTGTTGTAAATACGGTTTAGGCGTGTTCCGGGACCCCCTGGGATGATCAACACATCGATGGGTTTGAATTCACCACTGCCGTCGTCGGTAACTTTCCCCGCTTTCAGGGAAGAGATCACGTCAGCAAATGTACATTGTGGTAACATTTGCTGATTGCAAGCTGTGTTGATACTTGAGGCGGGTATATCAAATTGCCATTTTGCCTTGGCGGGTGGGATTGGTTTCACTGAGACTGGGTCGAGAGTTGCGGCTGATACAGTCAGGGTGATGGCTGATGTGTCAGGGTACTGCGTACGGATGTTTAGAATGTCCAGCGGGGCCGCCACATCCATCAATTGAAACCCCGGGAACAATGGAAGGTGGTAATGGAGAGGTTTGATGGTCATTTTGTGTAATCCTCCGTTGGTGGACGAAAAGGCCCGTGAGGAAATGAGTTGGAGGAAGTGTGGTCGCAAGGAGATCATTCCGAAACAGAACGGGCCACACACTTTTTTGATTCAGAGTATTCCAAGGTTAGGGGGAAATATATCCTATATCCATACTCATGTACGGGCGACTGATTATGCCACCCGACACATAACTCATTGGTTCATATTGCCAGACAATAATTTAGATCTCTCACTTCACAAGTACCATGTTGAATCTATAGTTAGTTACTTTATATAACTAGTTAGTATTTTTATAAATGAATACTATTGAGCAACCTGTTACTATATGAGGAGAAAGCAGAGGAAGAACTATTAATTGATTAAACTAGAAATTTGGGGTATATACCCTGCTAAAACCATCTAAACTCTGCTCTTTTTAGGGAGGCCTAAATTAGTACCGCTTTATATACCGTCCTAATATAGTGTACTATAAATTCTTAATATACTAACTTACATAGATAAAACCTTTCGCTACTATATAAATTTAGGTATCTCTATATTTCCTAGCGGCTATAAGTTTAAAGTCCTCATGTTCATATTTTTTGTGGACAAGAGAAAATAGGGAAAATAGGATAACACTCTAAACAACAAGTAAACTATGTTATGTGGTTTAAAGGTGATACCTAATTTAGTGCGTGATATTCGTCATTCTTAGGGGTAAGACAAGTAGATACGTAGAATAAGTCTCTATAAAATATAATCATGTATGTACAATTTTAAGCCCCCGAGAAGTGAGACCCGGCTACAAACAACGCTCCAGTCAAAATGCAAATACCCCCAAATAATTGCGCGTACAGGTAATCACCTCCCCGTAACGCGATCAGCCGCCCTGCTATGTACGGTCCAGTCAATAGAGGAATGCTATTGATCGTGGTGATCATGCCAACACGTGTACCAGATTTCTCCGGGTCTTTAGATCCAAAGTACGCATTGGCAGCAGGCAATTGGCCCTGCGCACAATTGACCAGTAACCCATAGACCGTAGCCCAGATGAACATGCCAACATGAGTGTGTACACCAATCCATCCTAGAATGGCAATTCCGCAAGGGATGGAGACTGCAATGCAAGTCCTTACCGCGCCCAGCCACCGGTCCGCCACGAATGCAGATGCAATGCGAGATGGAATACCAACACCGTTCATGAGGATTAAAAGGAGAAGTGATTCGGATGCCGTGAAACCTGTGTGAGCCTGGGCAAATTGTCTAACCTGTAGATGTTGTCAGTTGCTGCCCCCCACCAACCCAAATGTGAAACAAAAACAAAACTTACATAAATATATGCAAAGTAAATACCTTCGAAAATCAAGAATGAGCCGATCGAAAATAGGAGGTAAGGACGTTCACGGAACGCACTAAGATCCACCCAGGGAGGAGAACCCCGAGGTGTAATGCGAGACCTGGTAAACTTAACAATTATAATGCTGTTAAACAGGATAATGGCCGCCATGACCCGGACGGTCCACGCGAAACCAATATTGTCCATACACTCATAAGCGACCACTGGGAAAACCATGCCCCCAGTCGCTGCCCCACAAGAAGCCAGCGAGACGGCCATCACTCGCTTAGAGTTGAAGTATGTCGCATACAGCGAGATCATGGGGCTAAAGACGAGTCCGTGGCCAATTCCACTAACTATGCCTTGCGCTAGCCAAAAATGCCATAACTTTGTGCCGAATGAGGTCGCCAATGCTCCGGCAACCTGGAAGAGACACCCAAGAGCGATACATTGTCTCAGATAGCCTGCGTCCATTGCTCGGCCTGAGAAAGTGGCCAGGAAATGGACTAGGAACATTTGCACCGCTCCGATCCAAGATGCATTCGCTGGGCTGACTTGGAGAGTTTTCACGTAGTATTCCTGGAAAAAGCCATATCTATATCGTGTCAATATTGCAATTGAGATCGGACAGTACAGGGCTCTCTTACGATGTAATATAGCCCCATACATTGAACACAACCAGATGTCCGGTCAGAACCTGGGTCCAGGCCATGAGACCTCCATCGGGAATTTCATTATTCTCGGCTTTGCGGCCTTCATCTTGTAGGCGGGCATCTGGGTAAACAACGATCTGGGATTCCTCTGTAGGAGTAGTATAGGTAGTGGGCGACGTTGCGTAGGACGAACCGGCGGCCGTCGAGGATGCTCCGGCGTCATGACTCTGTGATATGTTTGGCTGACCCATGTTGTTTGGGAGGGCTTCACAGAGCAAAAAGAAAATATATCCCAAGATTGCAGAAACAAAGTGGGCGGTAGGCAGTATATGAGAGAGTTGAATTCTAAAATGTGACTCTTGACTCCTACGTTAGGTACTACGTACATTGTGGAGTCGATGTACCCGCTCCCTGTAGAAATATTGCAGATATGTTCTAATTCTGTACGAATTACAGGTAATTCTGCAGGTTAAAAGTATACAGTATGTAGGTAGAGTAATAAAATACCGTAAACTATATGTCACTGCAATCGAATGTTGATCTTGACGCGGAGGGAAAAGAATAATATCCGATCACTCCCACATTTTGTGCACACATCCGTCACTTCCTCTACATTCCATTAACAATGAAATTTGAATACGCTCCAGATGAAGTGCCTCAAAAGATCGTCGAGGTGTTAAAGCGGTTTTGCCTGCATTCGAGCAAAGATGGCCATCAGAAAGACGTCGGAAGGGTGTTCAAGTCCGTGCCTGAGAAGCTGAAGGTCAATATCACCTCAAATCAACCGATAACCATGGTCTTGCCTGCGTTTCCATGGAAAAGCCCAAACCAGGACAAAGTGCTGGGATATGGGGCTGATCTAGGAGAAGAAATGGGTCTGGCGAAGTTGAACCACCTGTGCGATGAGATCTCAAAGGTCTACCCTTACGGCGCACGCCTAATCCTCATTTGTGACGGACCGGTATATAATGGTACGTAATTTTCTATCTCGATTTAGTAGTGATATAACTACTGAGAATGAAATAAATAGACTGACAAGCGTAGACTTGGTCGGCGTTCCTGACGACGAATACTACGATTATGGCATTGAGCTGCGCAAAATCGCCCAAGAGAAGCATTTTTCTTGTATCCAGTTCACCCGGCTGATGAACCTGCTGGGGGTAGGAGATGGCGAGAAAATCCCCAAGGCAGATTACCTGCGTCTCGTCTCCACCTGCAGGG